GGTCGCAGTAATAACGGATCATTTCAAATTGTACATGCCGGAGATTGCGCCTACTCTCTCTTTCTCTCTCTCTCTCTCTCTCTCTCTCGACGATGATGTTCTTCCTTTGGAAGACACTAACGCAATTCATTAGGGGAAGAAAAAGGGAAGGCGATCGCATCGCGGAAACTGAAACGTAAGTCATTTTGGGAGGCTGAGAGAGATTTCAGTCTTATTGGAACGAAGTCGTTCACCTGTTTGACCGCGTTCAACTGCATACTGCGGACTGCATCCGAATATATAGATAATGAAACGCATGAATATGAATGATAATCTTCTGATAATCAGTATTAAATAATTAGGTCGTATTACCAGACGTCTCTCATAATCTTGAATCTGTTCTTTTTGAACGTAGAGATGATATTTATGACATGAATATATTATGATCCAAAATGATATATAAATTAGGTCACAATCAAAACACTTTTTTATAAATTAGATTTTCTTTTTAAAACATGTAGTTCTTTATCTGTTAAAATTTTATCTGTTTGTAGCGTAGAAATAAATCTAGATTAAATTTCCTTAAATATTTCTTGGTTCTCTATTTAAGAAAGGAATGAATAATAAGTTTTAGAAAAGTAATGTTAATAATAATTACAAATAGATATTTTGGGGGGATTTTTTGAATTTATAAGAATTGGAAGAAACTGTTGTTGCTTGATACCGAACAAATATGGACGCCAAGAACATCCAGGAGACTTGGCGGGTCAATTCGGCCAATGGCACTCCCCGTTTTGTTATACGCGCTCCAACACGCTGCGCCGCGTTGCACATTCCGTCGACGTCGTCGTCCACACTACGTCTTCTCTTCGCGGTATTCGAACTCCATGTGCGTGCGTGTGCGCCGTCTTGGAGGCCCTCTCGGGGGGATAAGAGTGCGTGCCTCCCGGCAATAATAACCATTAAGGCGTGAGAGAATGCGGGGGCTGACGTCACCCATTCAACATTCGTGTACCCATCGAATGCTGCTATCAAACGCAACCATCGCGAGTACAGTCTGTACGTCTGTACGTTAATCCGACGTCGACGCGTATAACTCGATTGTCGCCGTCCTTGAAAGTGTCAGTGAAAATATCGATGTTTTCTACCGGGAAAATAAGAGACACATTTCAATATTTCATACCACCTGCTCGTAAATGCTTTCAAAGGAAGATCGCGAATGTGATTAAAGGATTAAAGGTATAAAACAGACTGACACAGTTAAAAGGCACATATTTATTTTGTCGCGTTTATAATATAATTGTTGCAAATTGTCGCTGATGTTGGATTTCCGAAAGGAAATTTCGCTCTAAAGAGTTTAAAACGTGGCCTTCGACATACTCGCGGAATGTTGGCACAGATTCACCAAGTCGGCTTCCGGGATGAGGCGGCTTTCAAGAACAATGCCTCTCTTGTGGAATCTGAACTTGTGTCAAGAAAAAAATTTCGTATCTTTCACCCTCCAGGCATGGTGCCGCTTTCCCACGAAAGGTGAAAGTGAGACTTGCCGGAACAAACAAAGACGTAGATAGTTGTCGCGAAGGGGGAAAAAACGCGATCGATAAGAGGAACTCCGAGATCGTTAAGGACATTTCCTTTAGCACCCCATGTGCTACCAGGCTACGTCTTTCTCGGCAACCGACGAATGATCACGTACGTGCGTCTTGAGACTTTTCTGAGAATTAAGTCCTACGGGACGACAAAAAATCTCCCTAAAACGTACACTTATGCGCTTACAAAAATATTAAAATAAAATAAGAAAAATAGATCTTTATCGATTCTTATACATTTTTATCTGTTTATTAATTTCAATTTATTCCTCTTCTTTTTAAACAACTATATCTTGATTCGGTATCAAAACCGGACTTGTGAGAGATCTCGTTGCATCTTGTGACTCGAGGATTCTTGTTTGCATCTATTTTACGTGGAATCCGAATGGCTCCAGCTGCACAGGGATCTTATAAACGGAAGTCAGCTTCGAGCTACGATCCAACGAACCCACACGGTCTACTCCTCCTCCTCCTCCTCGTTGTCGGGGAGAAGTTATTTCTGACGCTCGCCGCCCCGCGCGAAACCGCGGATCGCTCGATCGCTGTAATGCTGACCGCGGATGCACCCTGACATTTTCGCGACGCGAGGAATGTTTTCCGCGCCTCTCGATGTCAGTAATTTACGACCACACCGTTGATTTGTGGAGCGAAACCCAACAATCCGTCTGTGCCCAGCTCCGTCTCGTCCTCGTTACTGAAACGCACGTAAGGACACCGCGGCGGATGACGTGATTCCCGCAGAAGCAACGTGACCAAGGTATATTCCGTCCCTTTTTCGGGTATACTGTCATGGTATGACTTCAACACAGGGTGAAAAAGCATGTCCGCGATGTAAAATGAATTTGCGGTTTTCACACATCCGTTATTCCGCGCGAATCACGTCGCCCACGTCGGCGTTATTCGAATCATCGATGGAAATGCGGATGAAACCAGCTGCGGTAAACGCAGGGGCTTTTCGATTTCGCAATTCGATGAGTCGCTGCATTTTTACATGTTGATGTACACACGATAAAAAAAGTCTTGACTCTCTAATTCTGACATATAATACTGAATATATGCCGGAACTGTCGATTACTGCACTTCTTATTCATCTGCGAATTTTTTGAATTCAGGTATGGATTTACTTTTAACAAAATTGAACATAAGACATTTCTCATTTTAGTCAAAAGCGCCCCTTAATAAGATCTTATTTTTTTATGTTAATCCCAATTGTTACTTTAATTACAAAGCGAGAAAAAAAGAGGAGAAAAAATTGTTTTGTAAGGTTTATATTATATATGATTTTGATACAATTTTGCAATTTTCTACAAAGGCACATTTCAAAGTAATAAACTTGCTGAGGAAACAAGATACGGAAGACAAATTAGAGGGCTAGGTTAAAAATGTCAGACCATCAGTGGCAAACCACACCTTAATGTATTTCGTGTACCTGACCAATTTAAATTATTGTGCCGTTCCTTCGATCAATGTTCTCAATCTCGCTTTTCAATTAAGGTCGACAACGTTCCGACATTCTACTTTGCATTTAACAAACATTTCAAAACCGCAATTAGCTGTCAAAATGAATGTATATCACTTATAGTAAAAAAAGCCTGAAAAATTTTAACTAAAAGACCTTAAAGAAATTTGTCCATTTTAATTTTGATTATAATTAATATATCTCGCGTTTATTATCTAAAATATGCGACTTTCTGTATTATTTTATTAAAATACAAGGAACTCTATACGTGATACACATACAGATGGATATAAATATATATGCAACGTAATAAATAGAAGATTATTTTACAAAAATTGCCAGCATGAGATCTTTTTCAAAAATAAAGTAGGCAGACACATATATATTTGTTCCGCGAAGTGAATATAAACTATGAACGTAACGTTCCACGACATTAGACCGATTGAACGTGGGTGCCTACATGGACCTACATGGATGGAGCAATGCATGGGACACCGTGGCGCCCATTCACATATATAGACGTAGTCTTTGCTAAGGGAATCCGGGATGGGGATGGGGGCTGCAATCTAACTGGAGCACAGGGGTGCCGGCATGTAGTAGTCATCATTAATCTAGATTCATGGACTTCTTCCTGCGTAATCGCAGCACATCTTTCGTATTCATTTTCTTGATAAAATATGCAACTATTTTTCAATATCAAAATATAAAGAGAACCGTGTACAATATAAATATAGATATTTTAAGATTTTTGCGCAAGGATGCTTGAACGTCGCGAAAAATTATTACTAAATACTAAATATTCCATTGTTGTGTCATTCTTAATTTGTGTAACTGAAATTATATTCAAAGCATTTATTTTTAATTTTTTGTAATATTGTTTTTATTTTTTTGAAATTTCACACAATGTGCCCTTTATCAGTTTATCCTTGATAATAATTTGAAGATTTATATAATAAATTTAATAAAAATCTGATGAAAATGTAATAGTATTTAATGAAATTCTAATGTAATTCATATATATAGTTTACTATAGTTTTTGCTTTACTAAAGCACCTATTATTCGATTAAAATTGCGACAGATTCGTGTCGACGATTCCAATCACGACAAGCGATCTAACGATCTTAATTCGCGTAATTACCGGATGCTTCTTGCCGTTTTTGCTCGTCTCACTATCGAGGGCCAGGTTCGACCCATTTTTTCTCTTTCACAGGGTGTGGTTACATTGGCTAAAATCGAACAACGTGTACATAATGTCTTAGTGTGGAAACGTCATGCCCTGTGAAAAAATGAGACAAACTGATAACGTACACGCAAAGAGCTCTCTTCGGCCGGTTTAATCGCGATTTATGCTTCGCGTCACCAGCGAAAAGTCTGCAATAGCGCTGTTGAGAAAGTCATGATACTGAAGGGGTAATATTACTGAAAAATCGCGTTTGTGCTTGAGTTTCGCGCTTATGCCTCGTCCCAAAATCCAGCTCGTGCAGTCATGGACCAGAAATCTAATTTCGTCCGCCGCACCATTCTTCTTGATTTTCGGGCACGATATGGTTTGTGGTTTCGATCGACAATCTGATACGCCAGCGAACGAGTTATAGGGCAACCACTGGTATTTGCGATCCAGCGAGTTAGCAGTTTCACCAATTGAACTGTCGCTTCGAGAAAGTACGATTAATTTCGCGTTATGTTCTTGTGCAATCGAATGCAAATAATCTTCCAGAACGTTTCTATCATCTTTGACATAATTTTATGGAAGACATTTTATTGACTTTATCACACAAGCAAACAGTTAGTAATGATAACTTTTCCAGGATTAAATTTTATCATTTCTTGGTTAATCTTGTTACATTTTTAAATTACGAACCGTCTCTAAATAGTTCAATAAAAATTTATTGAATTAGAAATTAGAAATTACGATTTTCTATATTTGAAGGCCACTTACAATTAGATTATATTATATCTTCTTTAATTATAGGTTTATGTAAACCGACTAAAAGCACAGAGGACGTGGATTATGAGGGTGATACTCCTTTTGACGAAGAAGATGACGAGGACGAAGACGAAGAGGCTGACAATTCCGCCACTGTCGAAGTACCTCCGCGAATCTTATCGGAACCAAAAAGCCTGCGCGTAACAGCTGGGAGCACCGTTCAACTGCCATGTGCGGTCGTTCACACAGGTTTGTAGAATATGTCTTTTATTTATTAACATTAAGTATAATGATGTGCTTTAAAAGCGTCTTTTCAAAATTATTCTTCAACTATTCTTTATTAAACTAGTGTATAACAGGCGCGCGCTGCGTATTGAATCCCATACACTTTCCAATAACATTTATATCAATTTACATTTTAATTAAACAAATTTTAACAATTTTTGATAAAAAATTTTCAAAAAAAATGACGCTTTGCGCGCGGTGCGTATTAAACTCCATACATCTTCCAGTAACATTTATACCAAATTACATTTTAATTAAACAAATTTTAATGATTTTCAATAAAATGACATTTTAATCGGCCATATTGAATCGGCCATTTTTAAATAAAATCACGATTTTTTAGAAAAATAGCCACATAATTTATCTTTAAAATAAGCCCAGAAAGAAGTCGATATTTTTATTTTTCTGAAAGATATGAATTTTTAAACATTGGGGAAAAGAGGCTTCAACGCAGGTAACACGGCAATTTTAAGATAGGAAATTGCTTACAATTAGTATTTTATTATGTTTTTCACGATAAGAGAAATATGTGAAATAAAATAAAATAAAGAATTTTAATTCTCTGGATACGATTATTATTATATATTCTTTAATAAGTTTATTCCGGATTATTTCAGAAAATTATGCGATCGCGTGGATGAAGGATGACAAGTATCTGTACTTCGGATCGCAGGCGCAAATAGAGGACGACAAGAGGATCGAACGAAGGTCAGATAACTCCTTGGTGATCCACAACGTGACGGTTGAGGACAGCTCTGAAAATTACAAATGCACTATCCTGCGGAATCCTGACCCCATAGATTTGATTCACCGTCTGCAGGTTGAAAGACCGCAGCAGGGATCTGCGATCTCACCGCCGCAGCACTCGCACAAGGGAATCATACGCGTGATACCTTCAAAGAGGCTCGAAGTGAACGAGGGTGAGACTATTCAACTCGGTTGTGAGACCAATATACAGCCGTCGCCTGAAATCAAGTGGTTCAAAGAGGTGAAATATCATTAAAACTATTATTGTAACTTTAATACCATCGCTTTTAACACGCTCCTTTATTGCTGTAAAAAGTACTGCAATATTCGTAATAATTCTAGATTCTAAAGATATCGCGGATAAGATTTTAACAAGTTGAAGAGTAAAGCTAATTCTCCATCGTTTCTTTTGCTTCAGAACAAGAAGTTGGACAGTTATGATCCCAATGTGATTCTGAACGGAAATTACATCGCGATAAAGAAAGTGGACGAGTCTCATAGCAGCCGGTATCAATGTCTCGCTGAAGATGGTTCGAAGACACCGCCGATGGAAGCGATCAACGTCATCGTGCATTGTGAGTTAATTGCTCATTCTCGTTTAGCTCAGCGTGGCTCTGAGTACCATTTTGCATAAGCATATTGACGTTAGCGATTAACGCGTTCCGCTTTCGTGATAGACAAACCTAAGATCGAGCTAGAGAAAAGCATAGTCAATGCCGGCACGGGTATGGAATCGGAACTTACGTGCATTGTGAGCGGCTATCCCCAGCCAGTTATAATATGGTATAGAGACGACAAACAACTTATACACAAGAAAGGATCTCTACTGATCCAACACAGGCCAATAATGAAGAGCAACAAGACTAAGCACATTTTAAAGATTGTGCACACTAAAGAAAAAGATTTTGGCGTGTACAAATGTCGCGCAGAGAATACCCTTGGTGATGACATCAAATTTATCACTTTAACAGGTATAATTGCTGTTACATCAAATATACATATATATACTATATATATATATATATATATATATATAAATTGTATAATTTTTAAATGTAAAATATTTAAAACAAATTATGTAAAAAGAATATAAGATTAACATTTCTCTATAAAATTAATATGTCACGAAAGTATTTAAATAGCTTTGTTTAACTCTCTTGAATTGCTAGAAAATTTAGATAGTAAATAGATTTTTATTTACAAAACATATTTTAGGTGCACCTTCACAAGCGATGGTATATGGCGCTGAGGTGACCAATGATGATGCAGGAATTATTCTAAAGTGGCGTCTGGAGAGTTACTCGCCGATCAGCGAATACAAGGTAAATTTGTGATATGCTCAAAAATAGGATGTAATGTATATTTTTCTATTAAAACTCTTAAAGTAAAGTATAATAGACACTAAATGCAATTTTTCTACTTGCAGTTACAGTATCGTCGTAAGGATGACAAGGAGTGGAACGTTGTCGAGCCTGAAGTCAAAGATGGTAAAGGAAATCAATTTATGGTAGAATATCCATTTCGAGAACTTCAACCTGGACCCTACGAGGCAATCCTAATGGCTAAAAATGAATTTGGATGGTCTACATCAGAATCTCATACATTTATTGGAGGTGCGTATATTTAATATATATTTTTATACGTGAGCAATATATATGCATATTTGCTTGCACATTTGAAAATATTTTCATAGTTTATGCATGATTTTATTATAAACAGTAATAAAAAATCGCTATAAGAAAAACTTATAGTTGTATCGATTTATAATTTGATTGTTAATTTAAATTAGATACGCGATTAAATTGAAAGATAATTAAAGTATTAATATAAACAATACAAACAGATATTACAAATATTAAACCTTCGGTTTCTTATTTCTTTTTTAGATTATCCACCTGATTTGGCACTAAAAGGTACGAATACTTTTTTTTTTTAAACAAAATATTCGTTATTTTATGATCTCTTTTATTGCCAGTTCTTAATTTTTTGTCTATTTACAGGAAATTCAGCAACTGTTCGATCTTCCGGAACTCTTCTAACGTTGATCCTAGTCGTTTTATCTTGTGCCTTCACAAGTCTGTAATTCTTTACTTAAATCTAAAATACGTAGGTAAGTATAACAACATAAATCTATGAACGAAATAATAAAAGCTTGTGATAAATTTCTTTAAGTGATTTAAACGATATATTTATGACACAGGTAATTTGCTGCAGCCAAAGCAACACCAGCAAACGCCATGGTGGATTTATTAGTGTAGGAACACTTAGGGGAGACACAGCGTGCACAAATTTTTTCATTGAAAATTTCCCCTCCTTATTAGAATGTATATTTTATGTATTACGTAATAAAATATAAATCTTTAAATGCGGGGCATTATCGAGATATGATCAAAATTTTGTGACCAATATTGGTTTTCAATTCGCCTATGTGTTCCATTAAGACGCATTGTAAAGGAAAAAAAGAAGAGCATTTTAATTGTACTTCGTAAAATCACGAATAATAATTAAGGAATATTGTACTTTAAAATATATACATAATTTATATATTTTTATCATACACACATATACATATATGGATATATATGTACGTGTATACGTGTGTATGTGTAAACATAATATAGTATTCATTATACATGCGTAAGCTCACAGAGACACACAATCATATTATTATAATTTATTTTTGTATGCTTAAGATGATTAGAAACGTGTTCAAAGAAGTCGCTTGGTGCCATGTACACGGGTCTACTACTTCCGAAAAATCATGTATAGAATCTGATCTGTCGTCCACGGTGTACACACGTGGAAGGAACATGTACCTAAAATGATGTAGCAGAAGAGAAGTGAATGTTATAGCCGTTATAGGAACGTACGCTATTGCGATAATATACATAACGTGTATAACCGAGTCGACGAAGAGCATAAAGTTGGAAGCATTCATACTGCGATTGTCGTATAAGAATTATTCATAACATTACGTCCACGTTCCCGTATGTTTGCTCTCAACAAAAGTGTATCCTTTTTTTTTTTTATTTACTCCTATGTTTCTCGAATATGTATAATGTGATGCGCGAGTAACGAATATATGTGACGACTGAAGCGAGTATGCGAGAGAGTGACGTTCTATAGTGTTTTCCACAATAGTTTGCTAGCTTTTAGCGCTGATACGTTGTTATATTGATTTATAATTAATGTTATACGCGAGTGCCACTGGCGCAACTATAATGTTAGGGGCCCCCAGTTTTTTTCAGCCGTGCGACCCCTCTGGAGCCTGCGACCCTAGTCCCGGCTCTAGGAGGGCTTACTACTGATAAGATATTTGGGGGCCCCTTTCAAGCTGGGGGACCTGCCCGGGCTTCCCGGGCGGTAGTTGCGCCAGTGGTGAGTACTATAAGTAACCATAATTGTATAAGAAACTGCCTATTTTAGAAATGGTGTGCTTGTCGTAAATATCGAGATTGTTACATTAATGAAACGCAGCCATATTCCTTCTAAAATATTTAAAATCTTATTTACACAACAATAATAAATCTATTTATGATTTTAATTTTTTTTAAACAAAGTCTAAAAAATGTTGCATTAAAAAAATCTGTAAATAATTATATATTCATTTATTTTTCAATGATATAAATTTTTAATCGCGTTTATAAAAATTATAAATGCTTATTAGGAACAATATTGAAGCACAATTTTATACTGTACTTATTTTATTGTATTGAATTACTTTAAAGTTTCTTTACATTCATGATCTTACAATATATACAATTTATTTTTAGGAGCGAAAATGGTTATGGGAAAGTTGCAACTGAATATGAAAATAGAAAAATTAAATCTCTGTTATTATCAGTTTATTTGATTATTAATTATCGAAATTTTTGTAAATGTAGTAAATAACAACGAAAATTATTTATAAAAATTAATCGGGCTTAAAATTGTAAAAAATACATAATGTATTTTAGCTTTTCATTTGTTGAAAAGTTGTATCATATATCGGAGCGTCATTTTAAATTGTAGTTACACAATTTTATCTTATATGTATGTATAGATTTGAACGTTTATTTTAAAATATTGACAATATACATATAAAAAGTCAGGATATTTATAAAATATATCAATACGCAACACACCTGATGTGCATATGAATATATAGCTTCTTGTTGCCTTAATCAATGTAACATGTACAATCAAGAAAAACGAAAGATATATTAATTAATTAATGAATAAGATTATACTTGCAGATACATAATAAACAAAGTAAACAAAAACATTCCGCGTATTTTACTGTAAATTATTAATACAATCCTTTGAGAAATAGTGTAAAAAATGTAAAAAGTTCGTATTTACTATTGTAAACTATTTATCATATATTTACACAATACAAGACAATAATACGATATACGATTTATTTTACATCTATAAAATAAAGTCCATTTTAAATTAAATTAAATATAATTTATTTTATATTTGTACTTGACTCAACTCTCAATTACACTTTAAATATTAAGCTCTTCAGATTTCAAAATCTTCCTCGGCGGCTGGCAAAATTACTGTCGTTACAACCAAAGGTTTCGGATTTGATTTCTTGCAGAGTAATATTTTAACTTTCCCTGATATTTGACCTTTCAGATTTGCGCTAATAGCTATTGGTATAGGCACAGCACTTGGTAGCAAGGGCAAGTCTATCACACGAGGATTCACATCGGTGTCTTCGGCTCTGCAGAGAATATACAACTCCGTTGGAGATAAAACTTCAGAAATATTTGTCACTATAACGCGAATCATATAATTGGGACCCAAACCGAGAACATTTGTCTCCAACGTAAGAGGATTCGGTCCTGATGCTAGGTTTTCGCTTAAATGTTCAGACGCTTGTTTAGCCGTTGCCAAACGTAAGCGGAGAAAGCCTTGCTGAAATGTATTATGAATTTTCTTTGCCTCGGCTCTCTCCCTTATAGTTTGATCAACAAATAATCGCGTTTTCTTCGGTATCGAGAACTTCGACGTATTACTCGACGATGAATTCGACATTGAAATATTTGTATTAAAGTCAGCAGTGCGTTTCAGAATTTTCATGCATAAACCACCCCCGACAGTGACCATTGCTATTGTCCGTTCCTCTTGTCCCATTCGTCCGTACTACATTCATAAAAAAAAGAGAGATATGTATATATATATATAGTTGACGTCACTTTTTTTATACATATATGTGTTGTTAAATGAGAAATACCTTAAGAGCGGATACAGGCTCCATAATTTTTACCGTATCCACGTGATGTTTCCCATCGTAAATGCGAATGCCGTAGCCTACTGTGCTTACAGCTAACAAGGACAGCCCGCTTTGTGGTACTGGTAAGCTAACTAGATCCAATATTATACCAGGAATATTGACGTGCCATAATTTTATACCCTGTAAGAAATTTATATATCAGAAAGAAATCTAACATAAAATTTCTAATATTATAAAATATTCTTTGCCAAGCGTACTCTTTTTGAAAATCCGATTAGAGTTCCGTCCATAACAGCTACTGCTGCTCCTTCAGAAGTGAGAACGGAAACAGCTACCGCAGGCGCGGGTAACGTTTCCCACAGTTTCACAGAACTTCCTCTCCTAATCGTCCCTATTTTTCCATCTCTCCCAGTGACTATTATGCGACCGTCACCTGTCCATAAGCCACAACTGGCAAATGCTGCTGGTGGCCATTCCAGTTTATGCTTATCCATAACTGAAAAAGCTCTGTATGGCAATTAAATAATATACGTACACAGAATATGCATATTTTTTAGACGATTTTTTTTTATTACGCAAGAAAAAAAAATACCTGGGATCCAAGATAAGGACTTCGCCTGACTCGGTTCCTAATACAAGACAACTGCTAGCGGGATAGTTCCACGAGTCCCTGCGAATAGTCGTGATTGCCGTTAAGGCATTGGCTTTGACAAGCGGTATTCGTCTATATTGCTCTGCGAAACTCAATCGTAAATTATTGTCCAAAGAGAGAAACTTTAAAGTACGAGGAGAGAGAAATGCCGCGCCAAGTTCTTTCAGTAACAGCTCCAAATCATCTGCAAGGGTCAGCACATTCAATTCCTCGTCCAATCCGCATTTATGCCAAATCTGCGTCAAATTATTAAAATATTATTTCAAAATAGAGATATTATACATATAATAATTAAATTAACATAATCTTCTATTGTTATTATTTTTTAAATCAATAAAATATAAGCAAATACTTCTCGTTCTTTTGGATGGGCATCAATGTGTGGCAGACAATATTTGAAGAAGGGTCTCATATTTTTGAAAATATACACGCTAGCCCCAGCTCCTACAGCAACTACAGACGATCGAGGTTCTCCATTTTCCGTATAAAAACCGACTACTCCACAGGGTGGATCTACCATGTTATGCTCCGTTATTTGATCGCCTCCTTTATACACTCGTATCTAAAAATAAATAAGTAACCCATTATAAATATAAGTAAAATAAGAAATAGTATAAATTTAGATTATAATTTGTAGGAAAATGAATTTTTTTCTCTGTATCTTTCTAAATTCTAAAAATATTTTTTAAATGTTCTATTATAATAGAATACATAATACTATCAAATATTTAATATATAATACATAAATGGCTCTAGCATATTATTTTCTTATCGTAAAACATTATACCTTTGTTGAATCGCTTCCAACTGGTCCTAGGTCAGCACAAATAAGTCTAGCATCTCCATCACCGCTTATATCCAGCATATCAAGTCCACCTGGCAGAGAAAATAAACCAGCACTTGGTTCCCAGAGTGCTTCCAACCAGCGGCTCATCCCGAGTCCTCCAAGAGATTTATGATCAGCTCTGAGAAGAAATATATTCGATAAAGATTAATATAAACAGGCATTAAATAAAAATAACGTATCTTTATTACACCTTTTTACAACCGATAATAGAAATATTCTTTACCTTAAACCATGCATGATTACAAACTTTTGTTCTCTTTCTATATAAATAATGAACTTATTTACAGTTTAATTATGTACTGAATTACATATCAGTTTTCTTATTTATGACATATCAGCAATATTATATTAACTATATTTATATTGCACATTTCGAACTGAGATAAAAGATTTCTCAACTTAATTACATATTTTATCAATTTTATAACTGGCAATTTTATAGCTTGATGGACTGACATTCCATAACTAGGAACATATACGCATTAAATTACATTTACAGAATGCCATGTGCTTTGTTTATGTATTTGTTTCCATAGAAATCATTAAGCCAAATGGCGCAAAAGCGGGAAAATTTCAAATCAGAGAGAAACCTACCTATCTGGGATAAGCAGCCGAAACAACAGTTTTTCAAAATTCCATAGAATCAAGAAAAAGTCTTCAGAAACAAAAAAGCGAGAAAATTAAATACATTCTTAAAAATTGTGATATAACAGCGTTTTCGGACGAAACGGGCTTGATCGCTCCAAGAGCGATTAATATCACATGCTCTCCTCATTCAATCAGAAATCTAAAATGGAACAATGATGTCATTAAATCACGGGGCGATCAAATCCGCTCCGTTTGAAAACGCTATAACGGAATTATTGTTTCATTTAATTATATGTGCTGTTTTATTTAAGTATGTGAAATAAATAATTTTTAATGTAAAATATATAAAAAACTGTATCAAACTCTTTGCAATATGATAAAATAATATTTTATTAGAATAAAATGTGTATATATTGCATGTAAAATTATTTTATTATTTTCATATAAATTATATGACAAATAATCGATGAGAGAAAATACCTAATATGGAAAATAATACGTTTATAATTACACTTGCATTGTTAATTTCATATAATACTGATATATATTATTCATGAATATGTTTTAATGAAAAAACGTGTCAGCTACCATTGAGAGTCTAGATCCATATAAGCAACATTATTTGTCACATTAGTTACATTCATATATATATCATATAACATGTTTTCAAAAATTGAACTAAAATTTATAAAATATAAAAGAGATTTTAATATACTTATTAGTTTAATATTTAATTTTCCATAGCCATAAATATACGTATGCACAATAAAGAGCATTGATATATTCAATACACTTGCATTCACAGTCTTTATGCGATTCACAGACTCTTTCTGTTTTTCTCACGGAATAAAATAATTAAACTATGCTATTAACTATATAAATGGAAAGACATTCTTAAATATTACAGATAAACTAAGTATAAACGAAATGCTCTTGATTGCACATATACGTATATATATATATATATCTAAACTACTAATTAGGAAGCCCTCTGTGTGTATATATCTGTGTGTTTAATCGTGTATATGTGCATTGTATGTACTGTAGATATATGTATATAACAAATGATAGACCACATGTTTGAGTAATGACCTTAAAGCTATTTGAACACAGCCAACAGTCAGATTAATTATACAATATCACACCTAGGCACAGAATAACATACAAATGATTATTTTATAATAGCAAATTGAGATTTCCCTAGAAAATGACATATAATTTCTAATTAAATACTGATTGTTTTAACGAAGTAATGTTGATAATGGAGACGGTGGCAATGATGGAGATGGAGGCCTTCCAGCAAGATTTTCCAATTCGCTGCAATGAAACTGACATGCGGAGCTGGACGTGCTTAGAGTTGTTTCCGAAAGCATTCCGCGTCCTTTATAAATTTTCTTCCCTCGATTATTCTTGTCGGTTTCAATCGTACCACCATCTTCATATTTATGAAAAACTGATAATATTTTCAATCTGTAAAAAATTCACAAGTTACTCATTGATTGATATAATGTATATACTACAGTATTGTAATACTCCAATCGCTTTAATCTAAAATGTATTTTTTATAAATATTTTAATACATGATAAAAACTGATTACCTGGGATATTCAAACTGAGCAAAGTGTGAAGATGGTCCTATAACTGCTAACATTGGGCACAAAAATAACGTGGCGTATATCCAACTTATTGCCATCACAAGCAACAAAAAGATACCGATTTGTATGTACGCTAGTACATGGGAAGGTAACATTAAAGCGCCCGCAGCTCCGCTTGTAATTGCTGCCATAAGAGTAGGACCGCCCATTTGTTGCAGCGCCGTTTTTACTCTGTCTATTTTCTTCTCAGAAATACATGCTTTATAACTCACAGCGTAATGCAAGCTGAAGTCTACAGCAAGACCTAATATAAAAAGTCCGTAAATATATATTATTAATGTCGTAACATAATTTAAACTCTTCTTATTATTTCTATTTACCTATAGCTGTAGTAACTGCAACGCTCTCCAAAATGTTGAGCTTCCATCCAAGAAGTATAAGTATTGCAACAGTTACAATTATTACAGCACCAATAGCTATTATGGCGCATAAGCTGATCAGAGGATTTAAAGTAACAAGTGCTAATACTATTAGAGCCAAAGTTAGCGATACTCCCATTGCATACAAGGTGCCTTGATATAACGTACGCTGGAGCTCGTAAAATTCTAGATGGCTAATAAACCATCCACGTCTCATCCCTTTAGGCGCAGTTCGTAATTCATTCTGCATCCAACTTTCAACCTAATTAAATTCGATAAATTCGATTAAACTTTGCTTTTACAAAGAGTTATATTAATCCACGTGTAATTACTATCAAATAAATAATACTTGCCTGATTAAAAAATTTATCCATGTTTCCAAACGAGAGACTGTATGCATATGTGCTATCATATTCAACAATAAGCGCTTTAATCTTAGGCGTTGCTTTAATCGCAAGGGTATCGTTTGTTGTCTGCGCGGACAATAATGGTTCTTTGGCAAATTTCGGACCTGGAGAAAGTGGACCAGTCCGAATCCACAAATTAGGCGTTTTATGTAATTTCCTGCTAGCTACAGCTGCACATTTTTCCAAAACGGTTGGTTCATACGGAAAATTACTACTGCTGCAACATGGCTTATTCACAACCTTATCGATAGGATCTTTACAAGGGTTTCGTTGCATCCACGAACGTAATGGTTCAATAAAGCAGTTAGACAGTAAAGGTCCCATAGTGCTGCGATAAAAAGATTGACTTCGTAAATTTTGACAAAATTTTGCAAGCCACAATTGTGACTGTGGATCAGAAACGTCAAAAGTTTCATCCCAGTCCGGTGTCCCACGTTTACGAGGATCAAGGTAATCACCATTATCAACCGGATTTATGCCCCAAACGAATCTCAATGGCAAAACTGCAGCGTCTCCACCAATCTGTACGAATAAAATATAGTATATACGTTTGTAATGCAAATATATTTACAAAATACAAATAAGTGAGATATAGGCACACCATTTCGTATCGTTCAAACCAAAATCTCCGTGAATATACTAGATCATATTGTTCAAATGGATGTGTGTTATGGAATAATTGAAAATCGATATAATCTGGTAGTTGCAAGCCCGGATGATGGAAGACGACATTGCAACACGCTATTGCCATAATTCCCAAACCTAGCAACCAAAACCACCGTAAACGAAGCACTAATCCGGTAAGAAAGCTGGTAAATCCTAGTGTTACTTCATCTCCCAGGGATCGTAGAGGACGAATAATTTTTCTAGTAATAAAATTGACAGGCGATAGAGTAGATAATTTACAATGCTCTGACACAACCACACACGCCGGTAACCATGTGATCATCAATAAGAAATTAGCGATAACTGTCATGCCTGAAAACAAACTGTATAACAAAATTTATTAGTAATATATATATATATATGTGTGTGTGTGTGTGTGTGTGTGTGTGTATGTATAAAAGTTAAAACCCTCTAAATATAGTATAGAAAAATGCTTTATATACGATAAAATTAGTACCTGAAGCAATTGATAGCAGTCACATTACTAACAATTGATGCAAAAAAAGCTACTGCTGTAGTAAGGGATGTAACAAACATAGATGGAAATGCATGTTTCATTGTTTCCTGTACCAAACGTGCCAATCCACCATTAGAGAGTTTCTGTTGTTTTCTAGATTCCCATACTTTACAATAAATAAATGCATCATCTGCCCCAATGCCTGCAAAAAGATTTTGTTGTAATAATGTACTTAGAGCTTAGTATATTTTTCTATAGATTTTATTTATAGTATGATCAAATAATGCTAAAGTACTAACCTACAGCTACGACAATAGCCAATAGATTCATAAAAGGAAAAAATTGAATATGCAAGATATTAGTATACGTTGCATACGAAATGCCAAGGCTAAATAATACTGCAAAAATTGTTGCTATAGTCAACACTATAGAGCCAGTATATATCCAAATACAAAGTGTGACAAAGATAAAACCGGCGATTACCAAACTCGAATCAGACAATATATCGCGATCAAATAGTGTACTTTTTAGGCCAAGTTGCATGCCTTGAACACGAAAGTTTCCATACTCTAAGTCGTAATTGTCTATTGCTTTGTAAAAATCTAAAGTTGCAGAGCTTGCTGCAATTGGAAGAAATAACATGACGGAATGTAACGACGAATTTTGGTTGTTGTTGTAATCCGTCTGCTGTAACAATCGAATCAATATTCAATATTATATATCAAAATCAAATGAATATCTATTCGTTAAATCAATATTAGATTATCAAGATAAAGCGTGCACTTACATGACTCGGAATAAAATTAACGTCCAAAAGATAGTGCAATAAATGATAAACTGCGTTTCTCATATAACATTCGGTTGGCATTTTCTTTTGGCAATTTAAGTCTTCCGCGCAATTAGGCGATAACTGACGGTTATGATAATAATAAGCGCATTGTTGCAAAAGTGTCTTTACTCTGCTCAGATCATTCTCCGTTACACCCAAACAAGAACTACGATTTGATAAAAGTGCTACATAGTTAGCTGGCGACCAACTTCTGCAACATTTATGATCCACCACGCCATTGCGATTGACTTGCGTCTGACACAAAGATCGAAAGTGAACATTTTCACGAAGTACACCATCGATATGACACTGAGCTAATACACCTTCCATTGACCATAAATCAAAGTTCTTTTCATCTGAATTTCCAGTAATTACGAGTCGAGCGTATGAAGAAGTTGGTAAATTGCAGAAAAAATTATCGCAATCAAGATGGTCTTGAATCTTGTCATCTTCTATATTTGCGTTATGCTTCTCTTTTAATTCTAATAATTCTTCCCATGTATCTTTCCTCTCTTCATTCGCTTCTGTATACTCTGTGTCATTTAACGCCGTTTGATGCTTTTTCTCCTTTCGTTTATTTTTACCTTTTGGTTTTTTTCTAAGAATACCCTGAGTAGACCAACTATGATTTTGCATATTTGAATTAGGCTGCAAAATCAAGTTAAAAATTGAACAGTATATTTTGCTAATTATTCAATATATATATTACTAATATTTCTACATCTAGCTATCTAATTACGGATAAACAGAAATATATACACATGGAACAATCAAGAGTAAAGATATATAAGATAGTTAAAATAAAAATTTTACTAAATATACCTGTTGAGTTAGATGACGTATATATTCCTGATATTCTAAAGGATTATCAGTAAGTTCTCCTCTCGCTTTTGTAGCTTCTACTAAATGATTCCAAGCTGTCAGTCTTTGCGCTAAAACTGTGCCTCTTGCCTCAAAACCCTATGGCATAAATGTTCTATATTTGAAACATCAAATGTATAGAATTATTCTTTTTAATTCCCACAAGAAGATGCATCTACATACCATTTGAGGATCCGAAAAATCTGGAATCTTTTCAGTTGTAAATGGAAGAATTAGACATAAGGAAGAAAATATAAAAACGACCAGTATAATAATATACGGGTGATGAGCAATTATACGAGGAAACCAGGATGCTTCCATTTCTATAGATTTCTTGATTTTATATATATATATATTTTTTAAAATCTATATTAAATATATATCTTTAGATGAAAAATATACAATCAGTATATGATTAATAAGTCAGTCGTATATATCCCTTGTTACTGTTCGTCGAAAAACTCGATAGTGTTAAAATATTCTTCTACATACAACAAAGACAACTCTTTAACATCACATCATGCTCGTCTTATTTTATTCGAGTATTTCCGCAGGTACTAAATTTTTTTTAATCGAACAATTATATAATTTTCTTATATTACAGTCAGAGTGTAATATTTAAAAGAATCGGAGTAAATTTTAACGTCGTAGTCGCAAACGCAGGCACAACCATACGAACGTGACAAATTCCATCATACGAGCATGACAAAATCATTCGACTTCGTAGATACTTCTTTTCATTATTATGTTATTATTCAGTCATGTCGAATGCGTCGTACTCGCGATTTCTCGTCAATTTTCCACGCGGAGAAACCGCATTGCTCCGAATAACAACACGTGTTTAGATTACAGTAACAAATGGTACGATCCAATGCAGGGTGGAAAAAAAAACAAGATGAAACATTGCGCATAATGGTGGCATGGTTTAAAATTTCAGCCAATCAATTGTTCCCCACAAGGAGAAAATTACTAAATTTTGCATCTTTGGGAGAAGCTGATTGGTTTATTGTCTAGTCCAATTGCTCCCCACTACTTTTGAACGACTGCGCATCCACCGGAATGTCTCACCTGGGATGCTTTTTCCACCAGAGAGACCTGAGAGAGGAGGACTGACGGTCTTTTTATCCTCAGTGCAGTGAAATGCATGTTGCTATGTAGTTTACATCCACTTCTTCAGGTGGCGTTAATGCATGCCGTAAGAGGCCATGTCCTCTCTCTCTAGTCACTCTAGAGTCTAGGGATTAGTAAGGTTAGCTCCGCCGCTTTTGCTTCTAGGCGTGTGTTATCACGCGTGTTATCTCACCGTTATATTTCAACCGCGAATCAATCTATCCCACGTAGTGCATCCGATATTCCACGTATCTCGTACGTGCCATGCACTCGTGCGTACGTACACCTATGTTTGTACAAATGTCACATAATCCGCCACGGACGTAACGGGTGAGCAGCGGTGAGTGGACAGCTCGAAACTCCGAAATATTGTGACGTCTACAGGAATAGATCTGTTTCTTTCGTACGTGCGTATTATGCGTTTCCTTACATTTATCGTCCCTTAATTGAGATACTCGATATTCTCAAATTTTCGCGTAATCTTAACGATACGTACAATATTGTTTTGCATCAGACCGAATCAGATGTTTACGTTTCATGCAGCACGTAGGCGCACCGATGTAACTTGAGAACGAGCTCCAGTTGTGCGATTCGAGCTGTCACTTTTTATCACCATCTGATTAATGTTGCGACAGGCCGGTCGCATCAGCGGCTTTTTCCCATGCTGAAATGAATCTTGAAACTGGTGGAAGAATGTTCTGTCGACTGCTCCTGGCGATCTTGCTTTTCCACCTGCAGGTCGGTGGAAATTATTTTGGGACTAACTCCAGGAAAGATGATCAGTGTTTCTGCAAGGTATCTACTGTCATGTTCTTGATGTGTGTTTCCCAAGATTCAAATTTATGAATTTGTTTTTACATATTTGCAATTTTGGAGGGAGTGTTATCTCTCCATATTTTTATAAGTATTATATAAAAATTAATAAAAATTACAGCTAAAAGGGTCTATCGACGACTGCACTTGCAACGTTGACACTGTGGATTATTTTAATAATATGAGAATATATCCGAGAATTCAAAGTCTTCTAGTCAGAGATTATTTTAGATTTTACAAAGTAAACTTAAAACAGGATTGTCCATTCTGGGCAGATGACAGCAAATGCGCTATACGCTACTGTCACGTGCTACCCTGCCAAGATGTAAGCAATTTTTATAGCAAATATTTTAAATAAGTATTACTACAATTTTTTTTTATTTTCTGTAATTTGTTATAGGACGATATTCCTGAGGGTTTAAAGGGAGATATTCCAAGGAATATTCATATTAACGAAAGCCCAGTAGATAAATATACAGCCAATGCGCAAATTAATGACTGCAGACACAGTGCGAAAGATCATAATATAGAACTTGGTTTTCTGAACACAACAATTAGGTAATTGTAGGATATATATTAATACCGGTTAAAAGACCAAAGATTAAATATAAATTTGATTGTAGTTCGGAGAACTATAAAGAATTTGAGCGATGGCAACAGCATGATGATGCTCAAGATAATTTCTGTGTAAAAGAATCTAGTCCTGGGGAATACGTGGATCTTTTACTTAATCCAGAAAGGTATACAGGATACAAGGGAACCAGTGCACATAGAATATGGCGAAGTATTTATATGGAAAATTGCTTTAGGTATATAATTATTGTTATATATCAAACGTTATTTATATTTATTTTGTCGTGTACAATTTTATTCGAGTCTATATAGCATATTATTTTTTTTACAGGCCTGAAAACTCGCCTCACATTTTTATAAAATCTTCTAAGATGAATGGTAAGTGTTGCACTTGCATCAATTCCATTTTTTATATAAACCTAGGGAATTATTAAATATATTTTTTTCATATAATAAATAGATTTTTATGCTTACTTTTGTTGTAGCTTAAACATATTCTCTAAATTATTTATATTTATAAAATACAAGATTTTAATTTATTTTAGTTAACATTAAATTTTTATATTTTTTCTTAACACAGTTATATTGTTTCAGGAATGTGTTTAGAAAAACGAGTTTTTTACCGAGTTATATCCGGTTTACATACCAGTATCAATATACATTTGTGTTCAAAATATTTGTTGGCCCCGCAAGACAGTTTACAAGTGTCACCTGACAATCAATGGGGTCCCAATTTGGACGAGCTAGAAAGAAGATTTTCTCCCGAAACAACAGGTGATGAAGGTCCAAACTGGCTAAAGAATCTATATTTTATTTATCTACTTGAGTTGAGAGCTCTAGCCAAAGCTGCACCTTATTTGGAAAGAGAAGAATACTATACGGGCAATGAAATAGATGACGAGGATACAAGATTGGCTGTGAACGACATATTGAATGTTGTTAAGTAAGCATTTTATAATTATCTTTTACAACACATGAAATTATTATGAATTATGAAATTATTATTCACTCTATCTGTATTTTAGATCATTCCCGGAACATTTTAACGAAACAGTTATGTTTACCGGTGGAAAAGAAGCACAAGTGCTGAAGGAAGAATTCAGACAACATTTTATAAATATTTCACGTATTATGGATTGCGTGGGATGTGACAAATGTAAACTGTGGGGTAAATTGCAAATCCATGGCCTGGGCACCGCGTTAAAGATATTATTCTCAGGAAAATTTGACAAATGGGAATCAACGCTTAATAACCTTAACCGGAAGTCATTCTTTTTGGAAAGAAGTGAAATTGTTGCTTTAGTGAATGCTTTCGGAAGGTAGATACTTAATTTTATTTCTAATTTTTATATGAAAATCAAAAAATTTCTAATCTATTAATAATATGAATTTTTGCAGGTTATCAGAAAGTATTTTTGAATTAGACAGATTTCGCAGGATGATGAGATAACGCACTATCGATTTGTAATTAGAGATTTACCAGCAGAGATTTACCACTACGAAACATCACATAAGTACATCACGTCGCTTAGATTTTCTATCTTTCGTGATTTGCTCTCTTTATTTGTAGATCTCGGATTTTGTTGCACCTGACCTAATTGAGTTGCGCGTTTACGTTAATATATTTTTGACGTTGCACATTTAAAAATTAAATTATCATAAATATACACTTATACATTATACATTATAATTAATTTATAATTGATATAATCGTATTTTATAAAAAATTTTACACAAATATTCTTTCTGAGCAACAAGAATAAAAAATATATTGGTTGATTGGAACAATTCCATTTTTTTAATATAAATTTTTAAAACTACGTAAACGTCAATTCAATTGTCAGCTGCAGTTAAGGAATTTTGGACTCTAGTTATTCGTAATTATTTCTTCCGATGCTATAGGAAAGCTGTATACATGCATATATATAAATATGCATTATATATATAATAATACGTAAGGACCGATTGCACCAGTGTTTACTTATGCAAATAATTAAGTTTTCTTCCTATATTGTATTATAATTAAAACCATAACATATATTAAAAAAGAATAGAATTCAAGCTTAGAGGGAAAAAGTTATTGATACGCAAGTGGTTATTATACAAGGAATGTAACTAGATATATTTATCTTGCAAGACTGGCGTCCGAATTGATATTTTCTTCCGATTTGTATTATAGCTTTTGACTCCGTCTGTGATAAATATTTTATCTAAGGCATCTATTTACATAACTTAAATGTTTGTTATATATTATGCTTTGATGTTGGGATTTTGTTTATACAATACATATTTTTATAATCAATGTGAGAAAATCTTTCGTAAGAATGATTCGTAAGAATGATTCTTTATTTATATATAAAGATATAGAATGTTTTACAGAATTAGTGTGTATAAATATATAGATACTTAATATAAAAATAATACAATTTCTGATATATATATATATATATATATATATATATATATATATATCGTTTATGTGCAATAATCTAGACTCTATATTTGCGAATTTTTTCTTGTGTGTTTTTATTCATATTATTAGAACGAAGCTTATGATATGATATATCGATATTTTATAGGAACGATATAACGTAGTCAAATGAGAAAAGAGACAAATAAATTTGGATACAATATTCAAAATACTCCAGTATAATTTAATAACAATTTTTTTAAATTAAATATCGCGGAATTCGAATAAATTCGAAGTTTGCTACGAATTTGAATTTCATTGGCTGAGTTCTCGATGTTAAAACATGCGATTTGCAAAAAATAAAATTTTTATTTCTAAGAAGTACGAAATTTGCACCAAATTTAATTCGCTAAGTAGGACAAAACTTCTTGTTAAAATACATTCTTCTAATAATTTTGATTTTTCTAGGATATCGAAAGACGTACTCCAATTATTGCTTAATATTATTTAATTGGAAAGAGAAAATGAATTCATAAACAGTATTTTTACGTAAAACATTTTATTTGCACATTAACTTTTATATTAAATAAGATGATTAGAATTTTCTACTTGTATTGAACAAATCGATTTGCATTAAATCGACGCAAAAGCTGTTAAAATCTTCCTTTTATTTTAGATTTTTAATTCAACTACAAAATACCGGTTCAGCTACTAAAAATAAAATAAAAATGACAAGTATCTAGCGCTCAGATAGAAATAAGCACACACATAGAAACCATGAAAACGCACGCGCACGTTTCGATCTCTCAGCTGTCACATTCTCCGCGAATCTGTCCGCTCCGCGCTGCGCGCATACGGCGATGATCAGTGCGCGTTCCGGCCGTCCGACGACAGGTCATGTTATGCGGCACGACGAAGATCTGAATCTCAATGTGCTTTTACCTGCACGCGTCGAGCATGAGTCACGGCGTCGTCCACGACGTCCGTCGCTCAGCAGCCGCTGGCAAACAACACGGGTGTGTCCGTTGAATTGGTCGCGCGTCGTCCGATACACGGTGCGATCAAGTGTGCCAGTCGCCGCCTCGCCGTAGGGTAAGTGTGTGTCGGCCGCCCGTCGCGGGTATCAGGCCCACGTACGTATATTACGTTATTACGTACGCACGCCGGTATGCACGGCCGGCCAGCCGCCTGCACGATGACCGCGGCGACGACGGCGGCTGGCATCTCGCAGGACCGAAACATCCCCTGCAACGGCAAGGACGATATAGCGGTGGTAACGCAGCCTACTGTCAGGAGCGGACTCAGGGTATACAAAATCGTGGTGTTGGGCGACGGCGGTGTTGGCAAATCAGGTATCCGCGTCGTCTGATTGACACTTGTCTGTGATCGGAGTGTCTGACGTTTCGTCAAATGTTTGAGGGTGCATACTTTATAATTACACGTCTTGCTTTTCAGCTGTCACCTTGCAGTTTGTCAGTCACAGGTTTCTCGACTATCACGATCCTACGATAGGTGAGTCGCATTTTATACAAAGATTATCGGAGCTTAACTTTTCGATCGCGAATCTTAGCGGAAAACTAGATAAAAATGTATAGAGATATATATATATTTAGGAAATCTGACGCCTAATTCTAGTTGTCAAAGTGCGAAGAAAATAACGCAGTTTCTCTCTTATTCACAGAGGATTCATATCAGACACAAGTGGTCATCGATGGCGAGGCAGCTCTTCTGGATATTTTAGACACAGCTGGACAGGTTCGAGACACTCAGCTTATATATTACAATGGTCACGACAATATTCCACTAAACGGAAATGGATTGAAATTTCAAATCATGGATTAAAATGATTTGAAATGGATTGACTTTCATGGAAATGAATGCATTTCTATATAAAGACCAATCGATTTCAATTCATTGTCTAGAAAATTTTTATCCATTTCAATTAAAAAAATATATTTTTTTATAATATTTGAATCCATTTCCGTTTATTGGGATTATACAATCTACATGTTCTTCATGCATTCTCGCTTTTTGTATACAAACGGATATGTGATCCTGACTCTGTATACTATTGTACAGGTGGAATTCACAGCAATGCGTGAGCAATATATGAGATGCGGTGAAGGCTTCATGATATGTTACTCGGTAACGGATAGGCATAGCTTCCAAGAGACAATGGAGTACAGGAAGCTAATATCACGTGTGCGCGCCAACGAGAACATTCCTCTGGTGCTGGTCGGCAATAAGTTTGATCTGTTGCATCATCGAAAGGTATATCAAAGATGCCGTCGAGTTGACCGTGACATATCAGAATTATTGTGAATAGATCGCGATACATACACGGCTTATGTACAAGAACAATGAAATATTGATTTCTTCCATACATCGAACTCGACGCTTATTTTAGGTGACCACGGAGGAAGGCAAGGCGTTGGCGGAAGAGCTCGGTTGTCCGTTTTACGAGACATCCGCCGCTCTCAGACAATTCATAGACGATGCATTCTTCTCGCTAATCAGGCAAATTCGCGCTAAAGAGAGGTCCCGCAGTTCGCATCGCAAGCGTAGCCGCTGGTGGCGAATTCGCTCGATATTCGCCTTCATTTTCCGACGGAAGAGACACCCTTCCCATCGTTCTCCGTAAAATTGGTTTTTGATCATTAGTTTTTTTTTTAACAAACAGATCGTTGAACCGCGACAAACGACAGCAATGACGAGGGGAATATCATAGCAAATCACAACGAAATAGATATTACTCATAATTTTAATTTACGCGATTACATAGTTACCCTTGTTTAGAGACTGACAATTCATTAATGTTTCACTGCCTTATCATTGACCCCAGTACGTATTTTGAATGCAGAGCAAAGCGAAATTGTCAAACAAGCTGGAACGCACACTTTGTATTCATCTTAGACTCGAGATCTCGAATTAATCATTCGCGTGCTGCTCAATTAAAGAAACATAAAGCATGATACATAATACGATTCATACTTTCTGTACTCGTATACGATACATATACTTGTGACTTCCAGTTTTTTTAAATGACGATTTTTTTTCGCGATATTTATTTATCTTGAAGGCTGTTTATTTAAGTTAGGTTTCAAACTGATGTGGCGATAAACAGAACCTAAGGCAACTAATTTTGAATAAGTAAATATCCGCAAATCACTAATGAATCACTTTTTTTAATAGATGTAGACGACGGTAAATTTTATTTTATTATTAAATGACGTGCGCGACCAAAGAAAAGTATATGAAACGTTAAAATACAAAGCAAGAAGTGATTCTTAGCAATGCAGAGAAAAATATAAAAATGCAAGATATTATATAAAAGTTTTACAAGATAGCTGCAATTTTTAAATATATAAAAATAGAATTTTATTTATTTTAATTTAAATATATATTCAAAGATTATGCTGCTACAAATTATGAATGAGAGTTATATAAAAGTTGCAGTAAGTTATAAAGTTTAGGATTGTTATATATTTAGTATTATTAATTATTATTAAATCTCTAAAATGATCTCTAAAATATCTTGAAAATATATTTCTTTATTAAAACAAATGAATATGTCTCTTACAGATATAAATAATTAAACTGGCAATAAAAGTAAATATATTTTATTTCTGTACAAACGCAAAAGCTCAGAAAAAAATATCATGTTAGGCTTTAAAATAATTAAAGCTCCTGTATATTTGTGGTATGAATAATATGACTCCAATTCAAAGAGTATTCGAGTTCAGTTTAATATTTACGATAAATATTCTAATCATGTGCAGCTCGTCAAGTATATGCATAATATATTTATATAGTTTTTAAAAATTAATATATAATCAGTCATTATTCTTTAGTTTAATTTTAAACATGATCTGGTGTGATGAGATTTGTATAATAACTATGGTAAGAATAAGTTAATATATACAAACACCAAAACGATTATTTAGACATAAATTCGCATAGTAATTATCTAGTCGTTACTTAATTTTTACTAGTCACTTTGTCATTTTGTATTTTGTTGTAATATATCGACACATATTGTTTTAATTAGATAACCGTTGATTAACGCACAATTTTACATTATAATTCTCACATATTCTGTTATATATTATGATTGGTATTACAATATGTATTAATTGTGAGTGTATATGTGTATTACTATATATGTATGTATAAATTACATATTTTTAATGAGAAATTAGATTTGTATACTATTTATTTGTTTATTACTGATGTTTGTATAATTTAACATTTTCTATGTTCAGTGGCATTTATTGCAAGCACATATATAATATTTGCCAATATATTTATTAACAACTGTTATGTATTAAAATAAAAATAATTTAATTCAAAGTATTGTCGGCGAGCGTGACTATTTGTAGCAGCAAATACAAGTATTATTAGCAGCATTTATGACAATGACTTTGCAATATAATTGATATAAAGAATGATTGTACTAAAATAAATGTATCAATATATGTATAACTGCATGTTTAGAAAAATTTATATAGGCTGCGTTCCATTTAACGCTCGCAAAGTTCACGAATTTGTCCTTATTTGCGAGCATTAAATGGAACGCACCCATAATATGCGACATTAGAACGTAGTATATTCATACATTCATATCATTAAAAAATATTATAATTATTATCTTAGCATTAAAGTTATGAACGGAAGTAACTGTTAATGAGATAAGAGTCACCATGTCCATCATGTGTCACCATCATATATCATCGCGTGTGTCATCATCATATATAAAAATAAATACATAAAAGAAATTAGTAAGAAATAAAAATTACTACATGTTAAAGATATATGTCACTGTCATTTTATATATCATGACATCAATTGGATGTTAAATAAAGAGATTAATTCAAACGAAGCGCATAATACGAAACAAATTATGGATTTTGTACATGATAAGAGAACATGATGGAAAACTAGGTAGTGACATGCATGTAAAGAACGTACAATAATTTATAATTTACGAGGACAATATGATAATCAACGATCACTTATTCTCGTTATATTTTTATTTCATTTATGTATACAAATTTTAATAATTGTAAAATATTGAAAAAAAGAAGCTAACACATGTAATCTTTTTTATGCAATACATGATAAACTCGATGCTGTACTACACACAAATGAATATCGCACAAGTATAAACCGTAGAGATTTTGCAATAAAATCACGAAATTTTATGTAAGCTGAGTATATTTTGGATATGCTAACAAGGATATATAAAATTGATATATATTTCACATCATAAATATAAAATAATTTTACAATAAGAGATACAAGGAATGTAAAGAAATGAAACTTTTAAAATAATTAATCAATATCATGCCTAATTTTCATTATTAAAATTTTGTTATAAACTTAAACTGTTTTTGTCTTTAAACAAACCGCAACAATTTTTTTTATAAAAATTCATCATCCATTATCTATCCAATAAAATTGCAAAGAAAAATAGACAAGGATATTTCTTAAACAATTTTTGTCCACCTTTATATTTTTATGTAAAATACTTACAATTCACATTGCTTATTTTTACCATTTCTTTTAATCGATATAAAACATGCTGCATCAAAAAATTATTGCGTCTTATGTCTAAAAATTACTAGTAATAATTATTGACATTTATTTTCAGATCTTCCAATGATCACAGTATCTGCTTATTACATAGAGATTTCACATATGGCCTCAAACGTATATATATAAAAAACGACCAACTTATTTTGGCACATAAATTACTTTGTAGTTTCATCTTCGTATTATAGAAAAAAAAAACTATTTAAAAAGTACATATTTTTAAGGTAGTAACATATAAAAAATATGTTTGTATCATAAACAATTAAGTGTACACGTGTATGTGTGAGAATGTGTATGATACAATTGAGCACAATATTTTACATGATGCATAGTCAAAAGATCATAATCTCCGTGATGGATCAGAATATCACTTATATTTATCTATAACTATTATAGTTTAAACTAAGCTCGCGTTTTGCAAGACTCATTAATTTCTAAGTTATATCGCGTGATACTATATAATTTTGTCTCCAGGTTTCTTTGCGGCATCTTGCGTTTTGTCTTCTTCATAATTGTCTGGAAGTAGCATAGTTTCCTCTGTGCTTTGTATGTCATCTCCATTGTTATCTACATAAATGATAAAAAAATATAAAAAAAATTATTGCTAGTTTTACTGTCCTCTTTCATACATTGTGTTAAAATCCAGTTTTTTACATCGAATAGAATAGTATACGCATAGCAATAATAATAATTAATAAAAGTGAAGTCTAATTAAGATTTTATAAAATGTAAGAACAAATCGAATGTGACATTATGATTTTTACAATTTATAGCACTTCAGAAATGTAAAACATATAGCAGCGATATATCGTTACGTTTAAAGTTCTAATTACCACGTGCTCGATTTTCGGGATCTTCCAATTCGTTGGCAACTGGGATATCCTGCTCTGTGGAATTATTCATGCCTTGTTTTGATTCCGTTTCAACTGAAAGTCATGTAAGCTATATTACTATACTAAAATAAAAAGTTCGTATGTATTTCTGAAAAATTTTAATTATTGCTTGTTATACAGAATACGATAACTGTATATATAAAGAGAATTATTAGATACGCGCGTTAGTAAATTAATAATTATTAACGCATCTTCCTGCACTTGTATACTCCATGCATGTTAATATGAAATAACGAATACGTTATTAGTTTTTTTAATGCCGAAGTTTTCGTAATAATAATTATCCGTAACCAATCCTTTAGTATAGTCTAGAAGCAGGAATGTCTTGCTGAAAGTATTACACATATAAGATGTTTTTCTCCTATTAGTGAGAAACTTGTTTTTTGCTTGATATTTTCAAAGAGTTAAAAATGTTATATAGAGTTTATCACAATTTTTTATTATTTAACATATTTCTATAAATACAAATAAAAATTTATAATTCACATTAAATAGTTTATATAATTTAATTACAAATCCTATTATAAATACAATATTGCAACAAGCTGTAAATAAATCGCAAAATATTCTACACAAACTTAATAATTGTCACAACTTAGTTATAAATTATAAACAATCTTTTCCATCCCACTCTATATAAAGCTTTATTTTTATAAAATACATAATTTAATTTTTTTTTTTTTTTAATTAGCTTAGATAAGAACAATGCATTAAAACAATTAACATAATACAATTCTTATAGAAAAATAAATTATTGCATGGCACCTATATTAATTCAGAAATCGTACTTGTGCCTGTGCGATTCAGTATATAAACTGTATAAACTATATAAATACTTTTTGTACTATTCTAATATATACAGAATTAGACCTCGTAACATAAAGCATAAGAAAGTTAACTATTACATTTCTTTTATGAAGACACAATTTTGTGTTACAATATCTAAAACAGTCTTTTATGAAAATTTCAGCGTTTGATAGAGAAATAATAGTTTTATATACCATTAAAATGAACCCGAAGGGCCGAGCACGATTCATAGCTTAGTTAGAAGCGATATAGTGGGCTTGTCCTTAATAGAGCTTTAGTCACAGACATATGAAAGTGTGAATTATGTACAAATCTACTGCGAACTTTTAATTTCATGTTTGTGGCAGCATTCTCTCGCCTCGAGGACGGAGAAAGGTATCACTACCTTTCTTCAACATAGTCACTGAGAAACGAGGAGTTTGGCGCTCAGCACCAGGTGGGTTTGATGGTAGGATCGGAATCCCGTGGAACTTCAAACCTCGCTGACCAGCTACGGATACTCTTACAGCAGACTCCGGTACAGGATGCAATTGAGACTTGTTAATGACCACTGTCGTTGCTAGATCAGCAAATCCCGACAATATCTTATAATGCTGAGTCAGTCAAAAATGTGCAAACAAAGGGGAACGAGCTGGTAATCGCATTAAATCTTGCGTGAACAGCCCAATCGGAGTTAGAACTTAATGGGGATATTGACGAGATTAAAAAAAAAAAAAAAAAAAAAAAAACCAAAGTATTTTCTTCCCGCCGTTGAAGCAGGGTGCAATTAGCAATCTAAATTAGCAATATCTCCATTCGTTATTCGTTACAATTACTAGTAATATGCTACAGATATTTCTTGTATATTAAATAAACTACTTAAAAAATTAATTTTGATAAACATTCAAATGCGGTTATTTATTGTAATAAAAAACGGATAAATTTCGGAGCATATTAAACGAAATTTGTGATAAAGATAATTATAACTTACGTGGCTCGAGATTTAAAGTCGCTTTCTTCTCAGGTGGTGCATTACAACCAAGCTTGAGTTGATCTGTTTCTCCTTTCAACTGTAAAATCAAAACGTAAATTTATTTACATTTTTCAAGTTATATTTGACTTTATGTTAGTACTGCTAAACAAAAAGTTCATACCCTATCCACTTCTTCTTGAAGTTTTTTATTCTCATCCCGCTTTACGTCTAATTGATTATTAATTGTATCCTTTTCTAATCTCAACGTTTCTAACGTTGCAGTTTTCGTAGCGTCCAGTTTATTTAACGAGTCCAGCTCACTCCTGCACATAGTAATTGAATCCTCGAGTTCCTCATTTTTCTTTTTAAAATCCATCTGCTGCTCCAAACGGACGTGCAAGGAAGCCAGCTCATCTTCCGTGTGTTTAAATCTTTGTTCCAAATTACCTCGCAACGTCACGCACTGATCTCTTTCTTCAGCACTGAAAGGATCAATTTCTTAATAATTCAGAATAATTTGAAAGTACATATATTGAACATTTTTATATATTGTAATAATAACCTAGAAAAAGAAAAATGTGGTAATGGTGATATTATACACTTGCATTGTGCAAGTAAGCTACAAGCCAGAATTTCTATGAAAAAGAAATTCAAATACATATGCCTTAATTACAAATTGCATAACAATTATAAAGAAAACCAGAAAGAGGTAAGCCTCGCAATGTCTTTCTGCAATCGTCTGACATCAATTTTTCAAGCAGTTACCTTCATTACAAACATTTAAATAGCATAGTAACATAATTCTTTGGTAATCGCATAATGACCACAACACTGTATAATGACTGTCATTAATGTCATTCATTGTGGAGACAAGTGGTTAACACAATTTAGGTTATGCGGTAAGCATCTCGCTTGATGCAATCAGAGAGATGCAATCGGCATTCGGCGAGGTACTCTCACCTTATCTTAAGCTGCTCGTTCAGATCGTCGATCTGCCTGATGAGCTCCAGGTTCTCGGAAGACAGGGTCCACCAGCTGCAGATGAGCATGAGGCATGCCAGCAGGAGTCCGCCGACCAGGAGGGGCGGGCATCTGCCTCCGCCGACCCTCATACCGTCGATTCCCATCACTCTTGTTGTCTCGTGTGTCGCGGTACACCCCGGTATACTCTCGCGCTCAACGGAACTGCATATGCCTCGTTATCGCCGATCCGCTGCTCGTGCACATGCAAACAATCTACGTGTCACACGCGTTCCTTGTGAAACGTGAGCCGCACTGCGCGCGTAACCCCACTCTCCGCGTACGTGGAATGCGATTCCTGTTTGGGCGATGAGGAGACGCGAATTCCACGTCCACGTCGCCGACGACGCGCGCTACGTTCCGCCTCTCTCAGGAACAATTTCGCGTGATAGCCATTTGAAAATCGCGTAGGTATTTTAGGCACTTTACGGGCCGGGCGTGCTTCGATATACTAACGCTGCCGGCACCGGCAGTGATATGACAGCGTTTCCTGATAATTCTTTCTGCGAATATGTATACAGGGTGTCCCAAAAACAATGCATATAAATTTGAAATTTTATTCTTCGAGTATTTCGATCGAATAATATATTTTTGCCATTATTTTTCGATACCAAATATAAGTAGCTAATTTTTATAATTAAATGTAAATTAATTTGCACACCGCGACCTCATTTAATTAATTATCAGAAATTAATTTAGAATTTTGTTTTTTTTTAATAATTTGTTAAAATCTTTGCTTCTAAACTTCAGAATAAAAGATATATATGTCGCGAGAGACAGTGATAAAAATGTTTCTTTTATCGTTAGTTTACTTTGTATGTCTATCGTTTCTATTACAATTGATCGGCGTATTCTGGAATACCACTGACTGTAATTTCAGATCTTTACACGATAATATCAAATAATCGATCGAACGTCTCTTATACTGTCCAAGTTATTTCCATTTGTCGAAAGTATTCATTTGTCAATGCGACTTACGTCGCATTATTTTTTATTTATTTTTTTAATCTCGACAAAAAGACAAGATTCGATTAATTTTCCTTAAATAATTTAAATCTCATTGAGGCATTTTTTATTTGTCAATCGCCACAAACTATTGACTTTATCTAACAATAGAGAAAACTGTAGGTCAATCGTAATCTTGGCGATAAGCACACATGCGCATTTGGCATATAATTACGCGATATAAATGAAAGGAATAAATTTTCGAAAGTTAGCGATGCTGCTAACTGTAAGTAAAATTGAATTTGCTTTCTAACTTAATGGAATAACAACATTGCAAAAATTGTATAAAATTCTTAATACGACGCTTCGTATGAATCAGTGAATTTATTTTAATAATGGGAAACTGCAAATCGATTTTATGAGAGAACTTTAAATCAATCAGTCATGCTTGTCTACATAATTCTATGTACACTTTGTACAGGTAATACAATCGATTTCTAGATCCTTGATGGAGATGGATTACTATTTGGACGTTTAAGGACGATTATCTCCTCTGTAGACGCTGAATCATCGTGCCGCATAAAATCCGCTGGATATATGTATTAGGAAAATGACCTTGTTACCTTTCCCTTTGCGATTCACAACGAAACATCGTGTATATCGATCTACCACTATTTGCAATTTAAATAACTGTAGTTTTACTAATATATGGAATAGATTGAATTAATTCAACATGAATGAAATATTTTAAACTATAATAAGTCGATCGAACGATAAGATAGGTATCATTTTGCTTTATACAGTTTTCATAAGTAATAAAAGTCATATAATCATATTTTTTTACACGCGATATCTGTCACTAAAAAGAATTAATTATACCTTTAAATTGTAGTATCACGCAAGTCAGGGTCATCAGCAGACGAGCACAGGTGAACATCTACAAACAACGCATATATACAAAAACATTGCGTTTATTCTGTCCTTTTAATTATATATATAATTTATATATTTACTTAACACCGTTCCATCGAAGAGAACTCATAGCCGATTAGAGCGAACAGAATTATATATATCGCGGTCGATGAAAAAAGAAATCAACGGGATTGTGTCACCGGATTTACGGCGCGCGGTTCTTTCTAATCAACTATAGGTAATTAACACAGAGTTCAGGACTATTGAAGATCGATCGTTGATTGTGAGCACAGTCCTGTCCGCGTACAGGATGAGACTGACGCGCGACTCGTCGTTTGTTCGCTTATTATCTCGACGAGCGCGATCGCAACCAGTAACACCGGTCTGATAAAATGCATTCCCGCTCGCGATGCACTGTCCGCAGCGATCGAAACTCTTCCTTCTCTGACGCTTATCTATACAGTAGTACACTCCGTTCGCTATTCATTTATGCGGTATTTCTTTTCTTATCGAGTCTAAAATCAATTTTAACGATCTACTTTTTGATTTCGTCAAATCTTAGAAAAATGGAAATTCGACGCGCATTCATAAAATTTCTATCGATCGTCTGATCCGAAAAGATTAATTAATATCGTTTGCGATCTGAGAGCCAATTTTTTACCGTCATTTTTAATAATTGTGGACTTGATTTATACTTTCTTTAACATTCTATTGTTAATATTACTTAAATTATCATATAAAATATATCCGAATTAATAAAAGAGAACACAGCTAAAATATGTTTCCATCAATTTTAAAACTTATTTAATTTAGTTTAATTTATTCGTGTTTGAATTTTACTTTTTTATTCTGTTTCTGCTAATTTTATATCTTATATAATATAAAATTACACAATTGAATAATTCTAATTAAATTATACAATTCAAATAAATCAAGTCGTAATCATTATTAAAAATTAATAAATGTATGGGAACACAATTCATTCTTTCCTTTCAAGCGAAAAACGATCACCACTTTCGGAACATCCGGTATTATTATTTTATTCATTGCGATACACTCTTTGTATTGATGCTTCTCAACGCGTCAAGGCTGTTTCGAAAGTGAACAAACCGATTGCATGCGCATCGTTTTCTTTTATCGCCTTTTCACATTCTTTACCGTTACAGAATATACTCGGTTATATATTTGAAGAGAAATAAAATATATCGTAAATTTAATGGCTTTTCTTGTGTTTTCAACGTTATTGCGTGTCAAGTGTCAGACGCCGGGATCGTTTATTAAGGATCACTTATCGCATGGCCCGTATTTCTTGACTACATCGATATTTCTGGGAAACGTGAGCCAGTCGTTACATTATCCTTGTTTGCGAGGAAGAGACCGAGTTAATTTGATAATCGAAATAATCGCAAGATGTATAAACGCAGTTAGGTAAACCGATCGAATGGTAAAGATTCAAAGTAGTTATTTTTACGTTAATTTTGAAAATAAGATGCATTGTTACAGACGAATTTTTCAATGACTGTCGAAAGTCCGCGAATTAAAAGCAAACGTACTTGTCATTAACAAATTCAATTAATTTGCTTTTTTCAAATGATTTATTGTCAGTGATCGGTAGCACACACGTGCTACACACGCAATTTTAAAAATTGCAATGCATTTACAGTGAGAATGTGCAAATTGCGATATTAAATTTGTGCAATAAAAGCGACGGTATTTTCTGTCTAGACTCTGCAGTCGGAAAAATATTGCACTAATCAGTTCTAAAAATAATCTGCGAAGCCGCGTGTTAGACGAACGGATAGATATTTGACGTCTCTTCCATATACATGTACAAATTGATTCATCAATGAAAAAGCAATTCGCTCCTTAGGCTAATCATGCGTCTTAATTTTTCTGCTGTCAATCGCAGACCCTACATTGAATAATATCGTATTAATTAAAACACACAACGTAACATGCATTTTAGACAGCGCGAATAATTTTTTTTATTCTTATATTAAGAAGATATAAAAAACGACGTAAAAAAAATATATTTGATAGAGAGATTATTTTTCACTTCGAATGCTATCAATTTTCTATAACGTTATACCTTTACGTTTTCATCGCTATACAACGGAAAAATAGAAAGGCAAGCATAAAATGCGAATTGATTCTTTATACAAATTTTCAGTGTACAATTAGACAATATCGATTAAAAAATTTTTTTCATACATGCGTATCGGGTCTGCGATTAGGCACGCTAATTCCGTAAATACAGCGATATCCGTGTGTTATCTAACGTGATTCGAAGGACTTATTTACAGTGTGATTCCTTAGAAGATGTGTACGAGAGAGAAAGGACGTAATTATCAATTGTAATTCTTCGCTTCTTTACTTTTGACTCGTTACGTTACGTATATATTCGATTTCATATACGCATTCTCAATACATCCTCTTGCGATTCCTCTCGCACGCATCATTCCAATTTACATAGTTGTAGCTTGTTACAAAACGGTTTAGTTATATACTCATCATTACATATTGCGAAACTTTCGTCGTGTGATGTACTATTATAAATCGATTAGATACTCGGGAGTATGCTAATCTTGTCGACATGTATACATCGAACCGGGAATCCTTATCAAAAAATACAAATCCGCTTAATATCATTGCAGGTTTTTCATGCAGTGCAATATCATCCATTTAGCACACATTATTCATAACGCGCCAAATTATATCCGTCGTCGTTGAAATATCATCGCAGTCTCTTATTATCCTATTATATATATGGCGCGTAAAATCACTTCACGCACAATCTCTTCGCTGGTGTTTTCTAATGACCTGCGCACATTTTTAAATATATGATTAAGATTTAGTATAGAAAAAGGATTCTTGTAGGAAAGTCATGGTCCTAAGCTGACATTGGATCTTTTGGTCTCTCGTACAGCAGATTAGTTCAATCAGATTGAGAATCTTTTCAATTGATATACAAAAATGAAATAGATAAATAAATTATGCATTCGTCAATCAGTATTTTACATTTTTTTTTCAGTAAATTATAAACTGAATAAAGGATTAACTCGATAATGAAAAAATAATTTTTCATGTAAACGATATCTGTTATAAATTAATAAATATGTAATTAATTTTTTTCTATTTCAATACACATTCTCTATCTTGGAAGTAGTATGATTTCCTTTGTCATATCGGAATTAAATATAATTTAATTCTTTTTCCATTCATCATTCATAGCAATTCTGTTTGATTGTGACCGAATAAAAAAGAATCAAGAATTACAGGAATACGTAATGCTTTTGTTACTGCCAAACAAGACGTTTTTCTCGAAAAGATAACACAATGAAATTTCGAAGTTACCAATAATTGTAATAAATTTACATGTCTCATGTTTTCTTTGTTGTCACTGCCATATTTTCGCAATAAAATTTATATTATTTATATGCCAAGAAAACAAAATACAAATTTGTAAAATTGAAAGTTCATAAATAACTAATCTAAATATACTTAAAGTAAAAAGATGTTTTAATAATTACTACAAGAAAAATAATTAAATTAAAATCAAATATAAATTTTTTGCTCAATTTTAAAGCATAATTGTACGTATGCATTTTTAAAAGAACAAAATATTGAAATTTTTCCAAAATGTCCACCATTGCAATGTGGTATAAAACATAGAAAGTGTAATGAAGGTAAAGATTGTATATTGTATAAGAAATTTATCTATATTTATTTGCACGACATACTTCGGTGAAGAGTATAAATGCAGTGGTAGCAGGCGATTTACAAAGAAAGGGATACCGGTGAAACGCGTGATAGTAGTGACAATTCCAAGATATTTTTATGCACAAGGCTTGTTTACACAGATACAGATTAGTGTCATCTCCTGTCAACAAAATATACAAACAAAATTAAACATCTGGCAACTCCTTATTAATTATTAATGGTACAGAGATAGCCGTCTTTTTATTCTCATTTTTTTTTTAAATATAATTTAATAGAAGATCAGAACGATATTAAAACAATGCATTTAAAAGTATAATATATATACCACATTTTAGTTATCCCATTTACATTATACCTTCATCTGTTGTATTTCCGGGCAATGTTTCTAAAGGGTACAAGAACCCATATAAAAGATGGACAATTGTACATTTAATGTAAAATTCATTAGTATCACGAGAATATTTTCGCGATTGGAGATAATCTTTCTATAACATACAGATTTCCTAGTGAAGTAAACTTTGTAAACGCAAAACTTCAATATAACAGATCGAGCGTTCGGGACGCTGTGTTAGTACATGGTGTTCTTCTACCTTGCTTATGCTATAAATGGATAACGAAAAGCATAGTGTATATGGATAATCTAAAATAAAAATACGCGCTTAAATTATTGCAGCTTCAACATAGCCCCAAAGTCAATCGAGAGAAGCGAGACCGTGAGAAGCGTGACTGCTTCTATAATCAACTTTCCCATCAATCAAAAGCTTAGCCAGTATTTTGATTTAAAAGTATATTATGCTAAAAAAAAGTGTTAGGGATATTACATGTCCCCCTTCTAATGCGATAACGTATGTTTCTCTCTTACCTTTCCTTCGCGCATTAATTTTCCAATTATTTGCTATTTACTTGTCTTAGCGCTATAAAAGATTAGAATTTACGTTAAGGACATACAGCCTACAGTTTTTTGTTATTTAGATATATCAATATTCAAACAATTGTTTCGTTGCTGTCTAAAAATATCCTTAACTTCCAATGGAGTTTTTCTTTTATATCCACTAAAATAAGAATAATCATCCTAGTGCCCGATCCTTAAAGATATTCATTAATTACATATATAGTATATATATAATTCATTTAATATATATATTATACAAAATATCTCTGCATCGTTGCAATTGTTTGACAAAAGCATACAAGTAACTTAGTATTACACGTTTAATATGGATAATTTTACATTACGGGTCGTTTTTTCTAGTGTCAATAACATATTCCTGTCGCATTTGGCAGTAACAAAAGTATCGGAATAATGTGTAGCACCGATTGTCACGTGCAAAACTGAATCGATGACACAATAAAAGCTTTCCTTACTGCGTGAAACAAAAACGTAAACGAGCAGATTGAAGTAGGAGACTAATCAAAGGTTAGACAATATATATATCTTCCAATTATTCTACCTTATCAAAAAGTATTTATTTTATTACTTCAGAATATGATGAACATATCTTTTTCAGTGCAAGAATTTTATGTACACTAAATAACCTACATTTCAAACGCGAACTTTTTCTGCACATAACGGTGAATGCAAAAAGAATAGTAGAACTCCATCAATGATAAATATATTATAAAGAATTTAGATGTTTAAAATAAATTTCCGTCGGATATTTATATATATGTATATCTATATATATATAGTTTTAAACAAATATGTAAAATATTGAATCCTGTCCGGTATTCGTTCCCATACAATATCTCATACATCGAACTCATCGATCAGATAACGAGAAAATCATAAAAGCGTGAACGTGCCAGCCGTGTTTTTACCGTGATGCAAATGTGAGCATTTAGATGCGATATGTCGTACCGTCCGTTAGAAAACATTATAAATATGGAAAAACTTACTTAACTCGAAAAAATAATCATTTCGTCATTTATTAACGGTACTTATGTTTTTACAAAAATTTTCGCGCACTTTCACGAAAAAAAAAGGATGACAGCGAGTAAGAAACGCGGTACAGAAAGATGTTGACGTTCAAACTGAACATTAATAAAAATACTTTTCGTCAATCCTTACACATAGACTTGAGTCTATGTATATCTCTTCTCTCTCTCTCTCTCTTTCACTTTTTCTCTCATCGCACGTTCATCATATCTTTCGTTCTTTACTTGTATATCACGTCATTCAGCTGGTAATACATTGATTTCATTATCGTTGTTAGGCGTGTAAAAATTAAATAATGAGTAGCGTTGCTTGTGGGAGTTTCGGCTGTACGAGGCCAGGGAAAGAACAGGCTCACGAGAAATTATCACTAGCTGGTTCTGTTTTAATTTTCTTCTGCGGGGAAGTCACTTGCGAGCGTAGGTCTGTGCTGGCGGGTCTCTTCGCTTGCGTATTACTTTTTACCGCAGTGGTTGGATCTGCTAATAATAAAGTGTGTTTGTTCAAGTGTATCCCTTTGAGAAAGAATTCATTCAAAACAAGACAAATCACACGACTAACCTTGCAACCACCTGACTTGAGTGGCTGGTCCGTATCCCTTGTCGTTTCGTGCTGCTATTCTAAAGATTATGGCCGGTTTCGTAGTGGTGTCCACGTGAGCGGCATTAAGGGCACTATTGTTCACCGAACAAGAATTACTCGAACCGCAATAAACTCTAATAAAAGCTAACTGATTTGGATTCGACACAACTGTTTTTGCTTCTCCGTCATTGTTCAACGCGGTACTTCGCACTGCCAGGTAGACGGAATACTCGAGGATGGGCCCCACGTTACTAGGCGGCGGTTCCCATGAAATTTGTGCGCCGTCCACAGATTTTGATATCTTTATAGCGCTCGGTGCACCCGGGAATCCCGGAAGACACGTCTTGAATGCCGCTACCTGTTACAAAAGCAAAGATTCACAATCAATGCAGATTTTGTTTGTTAAAAAAAATTTTCTTCTTATTAAATACCGCTAAATCAAATTGAATATGTTACCTCGCTCCAGGCACTTCGTCCACAACTATTCACAGCGGCAACTCTAAACTTGTAGGCAGTTCCGGGTTCTAACGCTATTTTAGCTCTTCCTTTAAAAACATCCATTGTCAAAGATTGCGTTATATCTAACGGCTCGTCACCAGGAAGATAATAATGTTGAACAGTAAAACTAGTTCCTTTTATTACTCCAACGTCATACCATTCTGCCTCTTTCTTCTCCTCTTCGTTCTATAAAAAAGCAGGCAATGACGTTTATAAATTTTATTTAACGTAATAATAAATGATACAGAAAATAATTAATAAAATTTACCTGTTCATTTTTAACTTTCATCGCTGGCTCTGCCGATCCTAAAGCAGCAGTAGCCAACGTTGTCAAAGCTGTTGAATCGTCTCCAGTCTCTGATCTGGCGTCGTTGAGCTTGTCCTGTTTCAGATTTTCTCTATTTGAAATAGCGAGGTCATCTTTCAGCTCCATTTTTACGGGTGTATGTACTTTTTCCATCTCCTTCTCGAGGGGTGCAGCAACACCGTTGATCGACGATATGGGCAAATCGAGCAATTTGTCCTGTTCCGTAGGTTCATTGTCAGGCTCCAATTTCAATTGAACGCTTGGTGCAACAACGGGAGTCATTACATTATCTGCCGGAGTCGATGTACTGTTATCAGGTATGATCGATTCATCGGCGTCATCCGATTTTGCAAGAGAACTCTCGGTTGGAAGATCAGATTTCAGTTCTGGGACTTCGTCTTTTATGTCAATTTTCTCGGTATCTTGGGGAGGATGTGATGTGTTCGTATCTTCGGTTAAATTTTCAGACGTTAGCGATTTTTCGTTTTCAGAAACTGATTTACTCTTTATGTTTTTCACCAGACTATTATCATCTTGCTGAATCCCATCGATTTCCATTGGATCTGCGACGTCCATCAGAGGCGTTTGTTCGGATGAAGCCTCCGCGACTGATTGTACTAAAGGCGATTCGGATTTTACTTTTACATCACTGACTATTGATTTAGGATCATTTGTCTCTTTTTCACTTGGTAACTCTGCAACATCAGTTTTTCATAGAAACTTCGTCACCGGCTGGTGGTTCAACATTTTCAGTTTTTATAGTTTGACTGATTGATTCAGGAAGGTCGGTTGTCGCCGCTTCTTCATTCTTTATGGCAGTTTCCTCTTTCACGATTGATTTCTCTGATGTCTGAATATTTTCAGATACGTTAACGTTTTGCTCTGTTACTACCGCCGATTCAGTGCTAGGTGATTCGGTAGTATTTTCCGAAGCTGGCTCCTCGTCTACATCCATTTTTTCTTCACCTTCCAGTAAGAGATCGTCTATCGGGCCGTCTACTTGCGGAAGGACGAAGTTTCCATCGCCGTCGACTTGCATTGATTCTCCCGCACCCATTTGAGAAACTAAAGCGGCCGCTGTAGTCGCCTCGTTACCGTTACAGCTGTCCTCCATTTTATCGTCACCGCCAGCACCGTCATCCGTAGCTACCATAAATGATAAACTACCCGACGATTCTTGTACCGGGTCTATCAGACCAGCTTCTGCAGCTAGTGCGGCTAACGCAGCATCAGTAGTAGCGGGACCATCTGAAGTAGATGCTGAAATATTATTTTCGTGTAAATTAATATCGCAAATAATTTTCATCGTTTTACGCTATATATCACAACAAAACTTTACCCAGAGAGGCTGAAGGTTGCTTTTGCGAAGAAACAAACAGCATTTTGCTAGTATCTATTGAATCTGACGCGCTAGAAGTAGTTACTACGGAACTGCTTGTTGGCAAAAGCGTCACCGTCTTTGCGCTTAAACCAGCGGACATTTGCAGAGTCACCGGCTTTCCAGATACTGCTACGGCTTCCTATAATTCAATGAGCAATTTTTAGTACTTACAAAGAATCCTAATTATCATATTGTTTATAGTGATCGGTTTATTAATAATTTTACTTCTTATTTTAAAAAATGTTTCTTGTTATACACTTACAGGTGTCTTTTGTATTTGCGGTACGGTAACGAGTTGATTCTTGCCAGTATTGAAAAGAGCTTGCGTACCGCTCTTCGCAGCAATAGTCACTGTCTTTGGTACACCACCTTGTCCTGGGACCGTGATGGTCAAAGGTTTGCCAGCAGTTCCACCGCCCATTGCCCCAGAGGAAACAACAATCATTTTGACACCTTGCTGATTCGTCACATGATTGGTAGCTGATAATGGCAGAACATTTACAGGAGTAGCTACGGAAGTAGCTCCTTGTCCTGCACCAGCTTGTGATGTTGTTACAGCCTGTACGGCTCTTAGACCAGAGCCCGTGGTGACAACGATGAATTGGTTGGTTCTTCCGACCAATCCACTGTTTCCTGTCGGTTTGGTGATCATTATGGTTTGCTTTCCCGTAATGTTCTGTGCTTTGCTCATCGCCACTATGTTGGACGTCTTCATAGTCGTGAGGATTTTTGATCCCGCAACCGTGTTAGGATTTACCAAGCGCAGTATTGTCGGTCCCTGATTGAGAGGTTTCGCGCCGGTTGCTTGGACACTTTTGCCGGGAATAAGGCTTACTTTCGGTACCGTGGCCACCATCCCTTGTCCGGTCTTTAGAAGATGCACGATCTGCGGCTGGCCGGCTATATTTTGGCCTGGCTTTTGCAGTATGATCTGTTTGCTCTGTTGCGGCGAGGCGGTGCGCAACACTGTGGCGCCGGGCGCGGCGAAACGTATCTGCTGACCTGGTTGAACGTTCTTCATCCTGATAGTATTGGTTGCTGTCGCAGCCGCGACTGCGGTCTGTGGCACAATCGAAACATTATTCATGTTAATCTTTGGGGTAGCTGCTGCTGCCGCGGCCAAAGCGGCGATTCCAGACATAGCAGCGGGCGTTTGACCAGCCGCAGTTGTAGTGGCAGTGGTAGTGGTAATAGTAGTTACAAGTGTCTGTTGCTGCTCGGTAGTAACTACCGCCACCGCCGTCGCTGTAGCCACTGCTGCTGTGGAAGTGACCAGAGGCGACCGGATACGTATAACATTACCGGTTGCAACTCTCGGGGTCATAGGACTCGTCGGCTTTTGCACTGCTTGCGATGCTACTGGTTTTTGTACGGGACTTGCACTTTGAACTCGCAAAGGGGTTGCCACTGCCGTTGTCACAGCTGTCGCTACGGATGCTCGGGCGGCGGCAGCAACAGGTGGTGTAGTCGGTGGAAGAGCAGCGACAGTGGTCACAGGCGGAGATGTGATAGGTATAGTTGTGGGAGTTGCTACCATCGCTGAGGTTGTCACTGCAACAGGCGTGCTGACGACAGGCGCAGTCGGTGCCGGTGCGCTCACCGCTGGGAAGGTACCAGTCGCCGCTACCGGTGGCATATCGTACTTTTGTATTTGAAGAATATAATATTGTGCGGACGGGCTCGCTGTCCAACTGACTTCCAACGTTTGCGTGGAAGCCCTAACCAGCTGAACTCTGGAAGGTGCCGCTGGCTTACTGACTTCAAGATACCACAGATCTTTGCAACAAACCTAAAACAGAAGAATCGTGTCATTAATATAATAATATATCGTCCAATCGAAAGTCGTGCTATTGTAACTAACCCTAACCTGATTGTTCCAAGCTTTACGGTAGCCATCTCTACCAGACCATACGTAAAGTCTACTGTGTACGCCAACCGCACAGTGCCCAGCACGAGCACGAGGAACATTCTCCTCCAAGGAATCAACAGTTAGTTGTTCCCAAGTAAGAGTTTCTGAAACAATAACATTTGATAACATTTCAATAATATTAATAATATTTCAATTATCTGAACTGCATTAATTAAATTAATAATATTCATCATAAATAAGAAAACGTAATATATTTAATTGCATATTTTACAATAAAATTTTATCCCGTATTGGCTAAATAATTTCGACAATATAAAGATTACTAAAGTTTTTGTAACATTTAATAAAGGGAAAAAAGATATATAGCTTACCTAGGTTCAAGCATGCGAGCGTGCTCGTGCACTTCCACTCTTTCTCGTGTGTCGCGACTTTAACGTCATCGACGACCAATGGCACCCATCCTCCAAATACATACATTCGATGACCGATTAGAGTGGCAGTATGGAGTGATCGCGGTAGAGGGGTGGGTCCATGAACCACTGGCTTGTTCCAAGTCATTGAATCTACATCGAGAAACCATAAGTCTCCTAGTCGGCAACCACTCATGCCACCGTAAATCACCAGACAGGATTTGCCTGTGGTACGATCGGTGTATGCCACTCCGGTATGGGATTCTCTGGGAGGTGGCGCGTGTCCGTGCGTTTGCGGCACATCCCAGGCTGTTTGGCCATTGGGAAGAAGTTCGAGCGTGTACAGATCATTCAGATATCTCGGTATATTATTTTTCGGGTCGTCACTGTCGTTCGCCAGACCGCCAAATAGGAAGACCCTGTTACCAATGAGGGTAAAGCTATGTCCCAATCGTGGGCATGGTGGTGACTCGTGCTTAGGTGGCTTTGGTTTCAAGCGCTTCCATTCCCATCGGCTCGCTTGTAGTTCATACAGCTCGTTGGAATATTTGCCATACTCTACCATTCCACCAAAGACAAAGATGCGTGTGCCATCAACAACAAAACCATATGCCGCACAACCTGGCGGAATGTCTCCCTTCGTGGATGGCACAAACCATTGATTTGTTGCTGCAAAGATACAAATGTCTTACGTAAATGTCTTGATGCAAGGTTAGATTGTAACATTTACATATATTTTCCTATTTTATGTACATATAATTTTTTTAATTTTATAAATATCCTATATTTCTATATAAAATTATTCAACTATACATAAATATTTTTTAAAGTAATTTAAACTTGTAAGATTTTATCGAATTTAAATAAAATGTATGTTAATTGGACAAAATTAAATTTTAAAATTATTCAAGCTTAATTTAAAACAATATCAACATAAAATAGAATTATAAATACTGTCCCTAAGATCTCAAGACTGTAATATTTGCATTTTGTATCTTTTCTCTTTTTTTGTTAATTTTATTTTTAATAGTGCAGAAAGTGTAATGTAGTACACTTGCAAGAAACAAATCTGACGAGCGATATTTTTAATTGCATTCGTATTGTATTCTGTACCTGGAAAAAAATTCGTTTGAGCGACAAAAGAAAAAGAAGGTTTACGAAAAGAAAAATTAAAAATGAAAAGTGCACGCGGCGCACCTACTGAGAACAACAGACCATATGCATCCCGGCTGTTACCATGGCGAGTTCGCGCGCAAGGACAAACATTTCGAAATCGGGCTTGAAATGCGCGCAGCGGGGCACGCAGGCGCACTTGGCGATCGGCGACGTAGCATGAGAAAGATAATACATGCGTGTGGACGCGAGAGAGGCGGAAGAAGGGTAGAGAGAAGGAACGAGAACGAAGGGAAAAAGGAGAAAGAAAAGGTGGAGAAGCGCGAACGTGGAATGACGGGAAACTCTGCGCGTTGCATCGGGCGCTGCGATCAGAGGGGGGAGGGAGGGAACGAGGAGGACGAGGGAGAAGGAGGGGGGGGACGTTGGAGACAGCAATGGCCGCTCCCGCGCGTATAAACATGTAGAATGACAGACCGTGACGATTTCGCGGGTCCGTCGAGGCCGAGCGGCCGTCCCGAGGGCGCGAGGGCGGTCGCGCGACCGGGCTCGACGGCCAACGTCGGGCCCGGTCGCCGGCCGTTCCGTTCGGGACGCGGAATCGGCACGTACGGCCGCGGATCCGGCCGGTCACCGTCTTGTCAACGTATGCCGCCATATTGGTTCGCGGGAATCGCCAGGTACGGCGCCGGAGCGCGGAGCGGCGCGGCGCACGGAAAGGGACGCACGGCGGCGTAGCACGCGAGTACACACTCGGCGGAAGAGAATTAACTCACCCGTGTTGTACACATGTAGCTCGTCGACGATACCCTCGTTCCCGCCGCCGAAAACGACCATGAGATCCTTGATGGCGACCGCCCGGTGGCCATGCCTGGGTCGCGGCTGGGGCCCGGTCGGATTCGCGATCCGCTTCCACTTTAGCATGGGTGCCGCCATGATGACCGTCGATCACATCATTTTTTCATACCGCGCGATCGTACAACACCACCAGCACTCGCGCGGTCGTTTTTCGTCGTCGTTCGCGATCCCGTTCGTCGTCGTCGTCGCCGCCGCCGCCGCCGAGTTGCTTCTAGAACGCGTCGCTCGGCGGAACTACAGGGGCGTCCCCACCTTTATCACAGAAACCGCGGCCCGTAATTCGTCCCGTCCCTTCGACACGGCACCCGACGACACAGCGGGGCGATACTCGAAAGTCCACTCGCGTAGAATCCTCCACTTTCTCGACCCGCTCTCGAGTCGCGCAGCTCTCGGTGTCGGCCGCGTACGTCCCCGATTCTAACCTCTCTTGGCGGAGGCGCCGTGAAGCAGCGCGAGCCTCCTGCCGCGCGCACTCGTATTCACCGCTCTCCAACTCGCGTGCCGCGAACGTTTCTCTATTCGTCCGGCGATCGGCAACGACGGTGCCCGCGCTCGCGGTCTCTCGCTCGCTCCTCGGCACGCGCGTGTCCACCGCACTTCCAAATTCGTAACAAAAGCCGCGGGTCGGGAACCAACTCCGGGGGCGCCGAGACTCGCCGCTACGAGAACAGTGTATGTCCGCCAGCCCAGCGGCGCGCAACACGTACACACTTACGGCGTGAGGCGACGCAAACCGTGTGTGTGTATGCGTGTGCGTCCGTATTTACGTATACGCGATGTTTACGGCCATCGACAACGTGGCGTCGCTAGAGCGACGACTCGGCGGCGCGTCGCCGACCCGGGCGGGGATACGCGGTCGCGACACCGAGATCCGCTGGGTATCGCGACGATCGAGAGTTCGTCGACGATTCGAGAATCGCGCAGGATTAATTCTAGCCGCGCGCGGCGCGATATCGTCGCGGTTCCGGACGACCCGAGAGCGGCCGTTCTACGTGTACGCGCGCGCGCGCGCACGCGATGCTCGTTCCCTCTCTCTCCCGCCCGTCTCTTTGCCCGATGCCACCGCGCGCCGCCGTACCCTCTCGCGGTGAAATCTGCGTCAAAACGAACGAAAAACGGCGCGGCAAGATATCACTGTCGAGCACGATCGAGCGACGCTGGCCGAAGGGACGCGCATCCGCGACCCGACGCTCGTGACGGGCGAGACGCGACGATCAGCCACCGGCGACGAGCGATTCCGTTGTACTTATCGGGGAAACTGCTGGAATAGTAGTCGGTAGCTCGATGGCGCGCACGAGCGGCCTTCGCGGACCTCATCCACCATTGCACACAACACACAACGCGTCGGTAACGAGCGGTGACAAACGCGTTGCCAACCGACGCCGCTCTGCCTCTGTGCAGGGATATTCAGCGCTCGTTTCGATTTTCATCTTCGATATTTTCTTTTTGGAGGATCGATTAGTTTCTCGATTCTCTTTCGACTAGTCCAATTATTCGAATACAAAGACAGAAATATGTCATTTAGCTTAAAGACAAAAATCAACCACTTATATATCCAGAAAATGTTTATGGTGAATAGAGATGTAAATAGAAAAAAAACCAAATTTTTTTTTTATAAAATACGTTTTTTTAAGAAAAAAACGTAAGCCTCATTTCTTTTTCAAAATTTTGTTTTTTTTTAAGTTATCTATTTAATATCTATATTTTACTTAATATAAGTTAATTTTTCATGATTTTTTTATTTTATAGATAGTAGATTCAAATTATCATTATTTTAATCTTTACACAGAACAAAAAAGCCAATATATTGATTCTGAAACATATATTTTGAAGCAAAGACTTCAATAATTATAATAAATTCTACTTGTGGGCAATTGCAACGCGTGGGCAATCGCAACACGTGGGCAATCGCAACGCGTGGGCAATCGCAACACGTGGGCAATCGCAACGCGTGGGCAATCGCAACGCGAGTAATTGCAACGCGTGGATAATCGCAACGCGTGGACAATCGCGACATAATATAAAAAATATGGTTTTTTTTCCATTTCTAATGGTGAAAACACATTGTCCAGAAAATTATTACGTTTTTAATTTAGTTTCGTTAATAATACAATAATATAGATATGTGAGATGAAATCGAAGAAGCGAGAGTATTACGAAAATATTTAATATTAACAGAAGCATGCATAAATATAACACATTGCAAATCTGGAATAAAGGACTATGAATAAATTCTGTATTTCATATATATATAACTGATTGATGTTTTTACATACATTGACAAATTAGAAATACAAATAAAATTTAATATAAGCTATGTTCCAATAAATTCCTAATTTGTTAAAATTTTATATATTATATATTGAGGAATTATCGATAGGATATCGATAGGCTAACATAATTCGATAGAAATTTGTAAGATTTTATTTGCAAACATTGCACTTTTTACACAAATATTTTTATTTTCTTATAAATTATTCTTATTTCAGACATTCATCTCTGATAATGCATATCTAAATGTTCATTTTTAACAGTGTATAATAAAGCAGAGTAATGCTGTAAATTAAAATGTAAATGATAGAAATATACAAAAAAAATGTCATATACAATTCAGTTAATGGACAATACTTGATTTAAAATATGTTCAGGATTCATTTATACTCATTTCGGAATGCTAAAGTACAACTACTTTTGTTAAAGCTAGAAATATTTAGAAATATTTCTTGCTTCTCTCTTGGTCTCTAATTTGAAATTAAATGATTAAAAACCGTATATCTGACATCTTAAAATTAAGAAAAGCTGTAGATTTCTTGAGAAAAATAATCTTTTTATAACTCTTCTAAACTGAATAAAAATTCATATATTAATAACAGTATAAATGACATATTAATGTTCTTTGCCTATCAAAGCTACTTCGCATATTTTGCATACTGTATCTTTAAACTGCGGATTGTAACTGGCACCGCACAAGAGACATTTCACTTCCGGTTTTCCTCTGTAAATAGGTGTGTACGTGCTTGCGCATAATGAGAATGGATTGTGCTCGTCATACGCTAATTTATGCTCGTCAACAGGATTCTTGTCACAGGACTGAAAAAGAATAAATTAAAATTTTTATTTACAGACATCAATTATTTATTTATATATAAATATAAATTCATAAAAAAAATAAAGTTACCTGTAACAGAACTCGAATTTTTTGCGCAAGTTCTGGATTTGGTCCGAGTTCGAGTAATCTTCTCGCGAACGAAGCGGCGGTTTTGTAATTCTTTAATTTGTAGAATAAATTCACAGCTACTTGAAGAGTGAGAATCTGATGTACGGGTTGCAGATTACAATGCGTAAAGTAAGCCGCCATCTCGCAAATTCTTTTCTGTTCCGCTAACGTGGCTCTTGGCAGACCTTTACGTTCAGTCTCCATCTTCAAACCTAAGATGTACTCGCGACAAATCTGAATCAGCTGTTGAGCTTCCGCAATGTCTTGCTTGGTATCGACAACGAGTAATGGTACACTTAGCACGATACTCTGCAGCTTTTCTATCGCTTTGGCAAACTTGCCATTGGTCGTCAATTGATAGCATACTTGAAGACGTTGAACTAGCTCGGAGAGATGTAATCCCACCGCAGGTAAACCTGTCTTCGACGCGGCGTCCTTCCAATTAGTGTCCTTCCAGTTTCTTTGCGGATATCCATGTAACGACGGTATGTTGGGTAGACATGAGTAGGATGTTCTGGAGCGGGCGTATGTATTTAAGAACAGAGATTGATAAGGTCCAAATTCCACAACTCCGACTTGATTATTTAATAATCTGAAAGCGGACTCAAACGACCCAGCCAATATATGATCGACTACCAATTTAGAATTATTAACCCAATGCTGTGGCGGCGAAATTCCCTTAGTAGGTAGACATTCGTAATTATTGCTTTCGTCGGAAGTTGCTGCAGCTTCGAGTTCCGGTGGAAGATCAACGTCCTCGACATCCCAGCCAGGATTTTCTTCGCCTTCCGGCGCGATTTCCGCGTCCACGACTTCTTCGTCGTCTATACCGAGCTCTTCGTCATTGCCCCATCCTTCGGGTGTTGCTTCACCGTTGTCCTCCAAAGCAAGAGCGGCAGCCACCTGAGTCCTGCTGCGAGACATCATCGCACCTTCAAAGAAGCCTTTAGATACGGTCAACAGCGGCCAGTTGTTCTCAGCTTGCTGAATAGGTACGGGTGGACGGAGATATATGGCACCTTTTTCTAGTGCAGAAAGCTCCTCGCTCATCGACTGATACTCGCTGTCGTCATCCTCGTTCGATATTCCATGAATTTTCTCGGTTACGTATGCCAACGATGCTTGTCCAGAGTTCTGCAAACAGAAATTTTTATGCGTTATTATAAAAGATATTTATTAGATGTAGATATTTATTTATTATATAATTTTATAATATTATATAATTTTATAATTTTTCTAATAATCATCACAATGAAGAATTTTATTAACATATAATAATTGATTAACAGAAATAATGTACCCGCAAAATCTTAGCCCGTTCGTAAATGTCTCCAAGAAGTAAGCTTCCTTGATATTGTCCAGATACATCTTTTCGTATTTCCGCGATTTTTATCATTTTACGCAGTTTCTCCAAGTTGCCAGTTATTAAATAGAGGAAAGCCAATTTCTCAAAGTTCTTGGTCCTTTGATAGCACATTTCCACAACCTGATGATTGCCTTGTAACAAAGCAGTCTGTGCCAAACTCTCCCAGCACGATTTTTGATCAAGCGATCTCGCCGCTTCCAACGCGACTTCGATATTTCCACATTCGAGCGCAAGACCGAATCTGGTCTTTTCATCCTTCACGAAATGAAGCGCTACTTCCGGATATCCCTTCTGCTGTAAATACGCTATAATCGACTGCCCAACAAGATTCGCATTGCGAACCATGTGTAAAACTTCCTCGTATTTCCTGTTAATCAGCGCTAGCTTGAATTTGTATTCCGTCGGATCTATTCGGAGGATCCTCGGCTTGCATTCTCGATCCAAGCAATAAACTTGATTGCCTTTCACTCTCGTGACGTATATCGGTAAATCAAGCGTGCGAATGATACCGTAATCGCCGTTGCTGATCGCGTATTTAATGTGATTGCTCGTCGTGTAAATAAATACGCCGGAATCGTCCCAAGCGCCAGACTTCACTCTGGTGTTTTCGTGTATGCAGCAGAGAGACTCTAACCGACGATTACAAATGTTGACGGTATGCTTGGCTAACAGTGCAACGTGAGACATGTCGCTGGACCAAACAACGTATCTGCACTTTGCGATTTTTTCTTCTGCCAAAGTTCTCTTCTGTTGTACGTCAAACAATGTTACTTGTTCTGGATCGCGCAAAAGCAACATGCCAGTGCCGGCGTAAAATATTTCGTCACAATTTAGAATTTGCACTTTTTTCGTGACTTCGTTCTTCAAATTTTTGATAACCAACTGAAAAAGAAATCACCGATTGTTAAATTTTGTATGAATTATAAAAGTATAGTAGAAATGTCATATAAAGTAACAAAAATTATTTACAGAAATAAAAGAAAAAAAGTAAATATAATAAGAGTATATACAAGATCAACTGTCTAATATTTAATTGAAATAAATTAATCCCAATAATTAAATTACTGAATTTTAAACATTCTGAAATTTATGTAAATTTCATGAAAAAAAAATATATATTAACTTACCGAATATGCTCTATCTAATACAGCGAATCGATTTCTAGCAACCCAAATGGCGGTAACACCGGATGCCCGTTTCGTATCAGCATCTGTGCTCGAATCTCCCTCGCGCGGTATCGTATATAAATCGTAAGTACTATTCTCAATATTCGACGGCGATCTTGTGCATATTAAAACGCTATTTTCCGCCTGATTGTACGACATGCTGTAGGGTGGTGTTTTTCCTCCGCCGCGTATCTGCATCACCGATGTATCCTTGGACGTAGTAAAATCCAGCTTTCGAAGAAAACGGTCTTTCACGTAGTACAAAACATTTCCGCAAACTGCATACGCGGGACGTTCTCTCTCGAGTTTGAAAATAATCATCCCAGAATCGTGGCCGGCGGCAAAAAGATTGAGCGTTGGATGTGCGGCAAGAACCCAGAATCTCTCGTGTTCCCTTCTGAATGTGTGCAAACACGTGCGTTTCGTCATATCCCAGACTCTGATACTCTTGTCCTCTGAATTGGAGAGAATGAGATCCTGTCTAGGATGAAACAGTACGCAGGACACATTATTGTAATGACCGCGACATGTGTCCACTTCCCAAGCCTTGGCGTCATTCATCCGCCACATTTTGATCTGCCGATCATCGGCTCCGGAGACAATAAGAGGTAACGTTCCGTGGAAGCATGCCCAGTTCACGCCTCTGTCATGACCTTCCAAAACGTATTTCACCACCGCATCAGCCTGACCGAACAAATCGGTCGCTCCCGGATTTTTCAGGTGATCCTCGAGACCGCCCGGGCCTGGCGCCACGTTCTTCTTGCGCAATCCTGCAATTGCATTCGCCCAGTTATTGAGGTATAATCATTTATCTGTCAATAGTTGCGTGGTTGTGAAATTCTCTTCTTGACATTCGAGAATAAATTATAATAACAAATACATAAGTAATACAAAATAATAAAATAAATTTCACATAAATTTATTAATAGATTTTTCATGAAATAAAAAATTCGAGAGAAGCCCCTTATATTAATTCTTTATTTTAATAAAGTTAAAAATCTTCAGTATCACATGTGAAATATAATTTTTGTACGAACCGGAAATATCCCAAACGCGAACCGTTTGATCCAACGAGGCTGACACAATAATGTCCTCCGTAGGATGAAATTGGGCACACATTACATAATGATTGTGCCCAGTCAATACACAAATGCAAGTGCGGCTTTGCCAGTTCCAGATTCGGATAGTCTGATCGTCTGAAGCGCTGAGAATCCAAGGATACTCTTGATGAAACATTGTAGTCCTGATGTAATCCAGGTGACCCAAAAGGGTGAAGATACATCTTCGTTGTTTGTAGTTCCAAACTTTAATCTTATAATCGTCGCCGCCAGAAACAAACAATGGCTGCTGATTGTGGAAGCATATGCCTCGAACGGGCCCGTCATGTTCATCGAATTTGTCGAGCAGGGCGCACATACGGTAATCCCATAGTTGGATAACGCCATTATGCAAGCTGTAATTTATTTATGAATGCAGAAGATTTATATGTGATGTATTTTTACTGATTTTATTTTTTGCATTTATACGAGAAATAGAATAAATATTTTATATAATTAAATATGAGAGATTAAATCTGTTAAAAATATATTTATTTTTCATTCAATTTTTATCATTCGATATTTTAATCTGATAATGCAACTTTTATTTTTTAAACGTTAATTCATTTTCACAACAATCTTTTATATATGCAAATATGTTTTATTTATAGATATATCAATTATGAACTTTTTTTCTTTATTGGTTTGCATGCTATGCGTATTATCCTTTTCGATCGCTATAAACCATATGAGGAACTTTATGAGTGCCCTGGATTGCGAAAACCGGCGGTTCGCATGACTTTTTTCGTCTGGGTGTACGATTACAAAATAAAGCATAAATATAGAGGTCATTCGGAAACTGGATTTCGAGCCTACATCTCTATACAGGGTGTCCCAATAATGTAACGAAAACAATACGAATTTAAAGATCAAGATTATTAAATGCCTGAAAATTAATGTGCAAATTTCATATCTAAATTAATTTAGAGTCTTTCTGTAATTCAATTATAGAAGTCAATAAGTTAGACTTATTATTCTTCATGAAATTTAATGGATCTTGTATCCGTATTTGGCCGCCTTATATATCTGTTTATATTTTCTTAGAAGATAGGTGTGGTTCGTTATTTAAATCTGAACACCAAAAGATCAGCAATCAATTTTGGCTCCTCCCACTTTCTGCCAATAATAATCTTTGTAATTGTACACATAAATATTAAACACCTACTGTGACAAATCATTCGCTCATAAATACATATCTAATAAAGAGATCAGAGATGATTGCCTAATTTGTCACATTAAATCGAAATAATTAATTACATTCTGGTTACAATTTATAATTAATATAAATAATGAATCTATATTAATAATTATATTAATAATTAAATATCATGAATATAACAAATTTTACCATTATTGAATATAAGATATTTTAAAATTTTAGTATCTGTTATTAGAAAATAAATACATATGTATAATATATTCATATATAATTTTAGTATCTTCTGATAAATCTTAAAAAGATTGTATCAATATTCGTGAGATGAGAATAATTTATTTCTTTGAACTAAACGCGATATCCAAATAAAATGCACGAAGCATATCCACCAAGATATATGATAAAACTATCTGAAATTCGATCTACATTCACTACATTTCGTCGAATCCAACGACAATTGAGAGACAAACCGCACATATCCCCTCAGGACATTTTTACGGAATCAGGTCATCAGAAGCAGAGGTGTATGCGTGAGAGTGGTGGGGACGTTAAACGCATGTCGTGTATATAGAGATCACATCAATACATCTTGGCAGTTCACTTCTTAATTTCATTAGATTCGTATCCCTTTGTCAATCTTCGACAATGGTGCTTTTTCAGTTTTTTACCGCTATTGTAAGTACATTTATATTTAAAAAACAAATTTACATACGATATTCTAAAATGTCTGATATTTATTTTAAATTTTTGAATCAATTTAAAACTTATTTTGTGCACGTAATTTATTATAAACCTCAATTATATGAATTTTGCACCGGTAATAAATTAATAGTAATTAAAATAATAATAGAACCGGTAATTAATTAATAATATAATCTGCAACCTTAAGGAAACATTTTGTATTTTTTTCAGCTGTTGTTAAGTGTAACATCAGTGAAAACATATTCTGTTCCATATCAGAACATTCAGCTAGCGTTTTCTATCACGCCAAAGTTGATATATACATCCGAATCTAATCCTGCTCTCAGTGGATATTCCTATGCAACTCAAGATTTTAATGGTGGTGAAAGTAATGTTGTTTTTACAACTGGTGCTGATTCTGCGAGTAGATTGAAGAACGAAATGAACTCACTGAAAATGTCAGAAGGATATTCACAAAGAGATAAAAACCAAGAGAATATAATATCTTCAGAACAGCAATATGTAAAAATTGAAAAAAGTAAGAATAAACAAGATCTCGACTTGAATATTGAAGTTCTCAAGGAGGAAAAAAAATCTTCAAAAAATCCTAAAGCAAATATTATTGAACATCCAATGAATCTTCAGCAAGTCTCCCTTACAGATGTACCTTACCCTGTATTTAAAGAAAATTTAAACTTACATCTTCCAGTGTTTCCAAATTATCAAATATCATCAAATGAAATACAAAGCCAATATCATTCTTATAATCCCTATGCTCACTTAGAACTGCCTTTGCATAATTTTGACTTCTACAATCCTACTGTGCCACTATTTTACCAAGCAGCGGCAGTCATTTCTAACAGCAATTCCAAGTCAGCATCGACAGCTATTGAAAATACAAAAGCATCTGTGGAATCACATGTTACTGAAAGCTCACAAACAAACGCTACCAGCTCTGAATCTAGCTCGGTAAAATCTAATATAATAGATTTGAGATTCAATCTAGAATCAACAACGAATGCAATGGAAGAAACATCATTCAGTCAGTCTGTGGATTCCATGAATAAACATGAATCCATGATTACATCTGAAAAAATTAAAGAAGAAATTACAACCAGTGAGTTTCCAGTAACATCTCAGAATTCTGTTGAACAGACTACAGATAATAAGGCAAATAGTACCGAGCCTGCAAGTACAGAAACAAATCCTTTGACAGAGAAATCAAGTGCTGTAATATCTAAGGAATGTATGAAATGTATGAAAAATTCCACAACTAAAATATAAATCCATATATACTATTCTCTATTTTCTGTATTATATTTATAATAATAGAATTTCTAAAAAAATGCAACAAAACTCCTGCATTTATATCAAAATAAATCTTTCAATATTTATCATAAATTATAAGTCTTTTTCTTCTTAATATAATAAAAATGATTTATAAATTTATAAATTAATCCCTTTTTTATACAATTATTAGCGCCTGGGTTTAAATTATTGAAAACACTGTGCATTGAATAAAGGTTATGTCTAATAAAATGTTATCAAAAAATACATGGCAACATTTATCAAACATTTAATTTTCCAATATAGTAAATGATTTAGATAAAACATTTTGCTTTTACAAATGGATAAATATTTTATTAGTAGAAAACGTTACCAAATGGTAAAAAAATTAATTTAAAGAACGTCTGTTGAACTTTACCTCGCGAGCACCCAGGGACGTTTCGGATGAAAGGACAAGCCCTTCACTCGCGCGGACTTCGTCTCGAACTTCGTCAACATCTTATTTTAGCTAAATGTTCGAAATACCACGTAATTAATTAAACATCACCCCCTGGAAATTCTTTAAACTTTTAACACGACAGGAGAAGACACGTCACTATATCACCATGAACTATATAATGTCACTCGATATGAAACGTAGATGTGATTCGTATGCCATGGGACGGCACCCTAAGTGAGGTTCGAATCTTCGCTAAGTGAAGTTTGAGTCTCCGCTAAGTGGAGTTCGAATAATTTTACTCATGAGGAGCAGACGAGCAGTAGAGGCTCAACCCCACTTAGCGGAGACTCGAACCAATTTGAATCCAACTTAGCAGAGACTCGAACCACATTTTAGGGGAAATTTATTGAATTTATTCTCCCGCTGCACTTATAGCGCGCGCGCATTCGAACCCCACTTAGCGGAGACTCAAACCTCACTTAGCGAAGATTCGAACCGGATACTTTTAAGGTGCCGTCCCATGGCAGAGATTTTTTATGAATTTTTTTTAATGTAACGCGTATCACCTCTGATTGGTTACGCAATACGCGTTACGTGAAAATCTCTGCCGTGACGGCACCCTAAAAACATCGACGCGTTTTTTATGCATTTGATTGGTTGGATTGGTTGTCCAAATCGTTGGTCGTCATGTTTTCGAACTACTAACCAAGGAATTTCGAACACATCGAAGAGTTGCACGCGGTGCGCTCTGATTGGCCGACATTGGCGGAAGACACGTTTTGTCGTCTGGTCTCCTAACCTTGGACGTCACATTTGTCAGATTCGTTTTGAATGAACCTATTCGGATATAATTATGATCTAGTAGAATAGGATAAACGTTCGGAAGTCCGTTCGCTTTTTACTCCCCGCGAATAAAACGGATACCTCTCTCTGTGCTTCCTCGCTATACTTTTTTTTTATAAATATATCGTAGTTGCGTCGATAGCCGGTGCGATATAATGCGAGTGCCGACCAGCGTTCTTTTCCTTGGCATTTTTGTGATCCTAACGACTTGCATGAGCAACGTTCAATGCGAGAAAGAAAAGGGCGAGGAGGAGCTCAAGTCCCAAAAATTTCCGCCCTGCGCAGCGTGTAAAATACTTATTAATAGTTTCAAAAAGGTAAACAATCTTCCTTCTTTCTGTTGATTTTTTGTAGTATTTAATAAGTCATATATTAAAGTCAATCATTTTGTATTAAAACTGTCAAAAGAAACATAACACAACTGTTGTGCTATTTAAATACATGGTTTTAAGTCATCTTAAAGTAATATTTTTATTAATTATAATTATTTTGTAGGGTTTAGAAAAAACGAGCCGTGGAAAGTTTGAGGGTGGAGATAGCGCTTGGGAGGAGGACAAGTTAGGCTCGTATTCGAGAAGCGAAATACGATTGATTGAAATACAAGAGAACTTATGTAAGGATATCGAACGCGGCGAGACACAGTGCCAATCTTTAGCTGAAGAGTTGGAGAGTCAGATAGAAGAATGGTGGTTTAAGCATCAAAGCACTCATCCAGACATATACGATTATATCTGTATTGAAAAGACAGAGCATTGTTGTCCGAAAGATCATTACGGACCGAATTGCACGCAGTGTCCAGGGTATCCAGATAAAATCTGCAGTAACAATGGGAAGTGCAAAGGGGCTGGCACGAGGAAGGGAAATGGTGGCTGTTTCTGTGACAAGGGATATATTGGAGACATCTGTTCAGAGTGTGCTCCAGGATATTACGAATCTTACAAGGATGAAAAAACCTTACTATGTTCTGCATGTCATGCGGCATGCGACGGACCTTGCAGAGGCGCTGGACCAAAGGATTGTGAGAAATGTGCTGCTGGATGGCACATGATCGATGACAAAGGCTGCTTTGATATCGATGAATGTTCAAGAAGCGATATTTGTCCTGGCAATCAATTCTGCGTTAATAAAGAAGGAAGCTATGCTTGTCTAGGTATATACTGTTATCTATATTTTAATAATTATTATTTTTATAATTTAGAGGTATTGAAATTAAAAACTTGAAAATTTTTCAGCTTGTGACAAAGCTTGTAATGGTTGCACAGGCGATGGGCCAGATATGTGTGTCAAATGTGCTGAAGATCATCATAAAAAGGATAATTTATGCATAAGTAAATATTACAAATAATAATATAACATATTTTAAATATAAATAATATATATTATTAAATATATATAATTTATATTATTTGTAGATTCAGATCTTCTTGGCCGCAAGAAACAAGAAAATCTAGCGAGATATCTGACATATTTCGGACTCTGTGTAGCGACATGTATCATTTTGCAGCGTAACGTTTATGTAGCAAGCGTTATCGGTTTGTTAGTTGCAATATATATATCAGTCTCAGAGTACATGATTGCGCATAGCAATGTTCAAGATACAACGGCAAATATGGATATTCTAGGACCAGCTTAAATAGGAATGCAATTTAAAAATTCTCTGTAAAGTCATTTCATTATCATGTTATATCAGAATAAGAACATTATTCATATGTAAAATAGGGCATATTATAATTCATGTAATTAATTGCCATTGTAAATTGAAAAGATGTTACAATTTTCTTTATTAATAATATTTTTTCTTGCTATATTTTTGAAAAAAATCTTTGATATATGTTCATGATTTATCTATATTTGTTTCTGATATCTATATGTTTGCTTTATACAATTATGTTTTCTATTTTTCAAAAATAACCAGTTTTTTAAATACTATTTCTTGTACCAAAGTTACTGCTAGTTTTTTATCCAGTATAACTTTATTATTGCATATGTTACATAATTGTAAATATATCTCAATGTAGACAAGAATTAATAAGAAAAGGAGATACAGTTTTACAGTTTTAAAATAAGTACATTACAAATCACAAAAAGAACTACAACATACATATTATTTAGGCATTTTTATACTCATTAAAATATTTAAACTTTTGCCGATATATACTCGTATCTACATACCTGTAGTTTCTAATAGCTATAATACAATAGCATCAATTTCAACGAAGAAAATGTTACAATATTGTCAATAATTATTATTAAATGAAAATTTTTATTTCATGTTTATATTTTTTATTGGGTTTTATTCAGTTATTACAACATCGAATATTATGGAATTTAATTATGTACACTACATGTAAAAATGTAGCAGAATGTAATATATCTTTATAGAATTTATGTTAATGTCGTTAAAACATATAATATTGTATATTATGCATTTGGTATATAATCTATTTGCTTAATTTATGTTAATACATTAGATTTATATATTGACATATAACTAACTGTTCAGTATAGCAAATATACTACTTGAGTAAAATTATATTCTCGTCGGTCCTCTTTACTATACATACTGTCTTATAATACAATAGTACAATATTATCAAAATATTAAAATGATGTGCAATATCTGTTTTATTCCAATTTTGAAATTAATTATGTTGAAGAAATCAGGTATCATATCAGCACAGATTTGAATTATTTTAAAATTAGTAAAAACGTACATTGACTTAACTATAGACATTCCATTGATATTGCCATTATACGATACTAGATGGCCAAATATTACAGTACTTTCTCATAATTAAATATCACTTACTTATACTATTTATTTTGTAATGCACGATCTTTGCATATATCAACTTTATATCTACTAGCATTTTTTGAAACGTTTATAAATTTTTAAACTACTGATAGAAATCTAAAATAAAATAATTCTTCTCTCTTCTAGATACATATGTACATACATACGTCATATAACACTTTACATATAAAACTTGTTATTCCAATTTATTATTTCATCAGAACACTACATAGTAACAAAAATAATATTCTTTGATCTAATGTGATTACATGGTCGAACTGGAAAATAGTTTCTTGCAGTTAAATTTTTTACTTTTAATATACTTCCTTTGTATGTTTACATGTATCTAATTACAAACAATATTCTATCACATCTTTATCATATATTTTTATAATATTTAAAAAGTATATCGTTTAAGAAATTATAAAATAATTCGCGTTTTTAGTATAAGAATTTAATGAGATGACATTGAATAAGAAAGCATTCTGATGACCTATAATTGTCGGCCATAAAAAAAATTAGCTAACCTGTCACTAGATGGCTAAACCTGAAAACTGAAATAGTTTCTCGTATTTAAAATTTAACTACATTTCTATATAAGTGTTACTTTCATACAATTAATTTATAAGCAATATTCAATAAGCGATATATAATATATCGATATTTTTGGCTTGATAATCGAAGCTACACCAACATTAAACGATTTAAAAGTTAATTTATTTCTACTATCTTATTTAATTAAAGTGCTATGGACAAAATTACTTTTTTTTAACAATAAAAATGGTAAAGAAAGCAATTTTTATAAAAAAATTGTAAGATTCTGGATTTTGTCTAATTTAATGGATTTGTGTGTCGCATCTCTTCGAAAATTCTCTTTAAAAAAAATAATACTGTAAGTACTAAATTGGTGATTAATTACTTATTTTGTGTATTAAAACTGTTTACAGTATTAAATTTCTCTAAGAAGATATTAAATTATATTTAATATAAAAATTTTTATAATATATGATGTAATATATGATTTTTATAATATATGATTGTAAAAGAATTAACAATGTCATATTACTCATATTTATAGTATTTCGATCACATTTAGCTATCAATTTATATATAAATTGCATTTTTTGTATTTCAGTAAGTATATACTTACTGA